TATAAAGCATAGATTACAAATCATTGGATGAACGCTTTTGTTGCATAGAAAGTATTTCATAACAAGATAGTGAAGTTCTAGTGATGTTTTGTAACTATTTTATTTAAAGGGGAATATTTACTTATTACAGCAATTAACTATTAGCCTGAACAGTGCTTGTGAAATGCATATTCGTAGAAATTCAAAATTCACTTTCAATAATTCTGTTTGCAAATCTGCATTATCAAATGAAAACAAAAGTGGATGCCATCCTGCATCCAAAGAGAAAATAAAGAAATGAGAGATAAAACACCGTTCTCCTTTAAAAAACGAAAAAGAGAAAGAAATTGAACGAAAGATGCGTGTTTTCAATGGAAAGGTAACATTTAAAAGGAATTTAATAAAACTGTTGAGTGAATTGTGAACATCGGTATATTTTATTTGACAATATGACCCTATATTTGAAAGAATTCATGAGAGCAGGCGTGAGGAATTTAAAGTCAAATTTATTATTAATAGAAGACAAATTTAAATGGTATATCAGAAAGTCTATTTTCTAATTTAAAAAAAATTATGATGCTCATATAAATCTCGGTATCAAGCTATTTTACAGATTCAAAAGAAAACATTTTTATTATATGTTTAAGTAAAACGAATAGGTAGTAATTCTAGTAAAAAAATTCAGAAATGATTCTACGAAATTTATATTTAATATTGCAAAATTAGTAATTGATTTCTTATTATTTCTTGAAGCAAATTTCACTTCTCTTCAGTTTGTGCTTTTTTGTCATTAATTCTATAATTTTATTTCTTTTATCTACACACTGCGTCTGCAAAGATTTGGAACTAAGTTAATGCAAAATCAACAACTGAAGAAAACAGCATTCCAGCTTTAATGTACAATCCTTTAGTCTATATAACACGTGACACGTTCATACGGCAATTTGATTCTTTCGTATAATTTATCTTTTGAAATGATGTTTCTGTCTCTGATTAGGATTTCTTGAATCTCTCCAATACTTTTAAAATTTCTTAAGATTTGAAACAAGACTTCAGTTTATGCAAATGAGTCTGCAGATGTCAAATCTGATGAACGACGGGAATGTTGTTAATTGTAATACTTTTTTTCGTAACGTTCTAATGAAAGTTAATGTGACGTCGCATTGTCGTGCTGCAGAAATCAGTCTTTGTACTTTTAACTTTATTTATTTAACAACTTTGTTAACAACAAAACTAATCAGCTACCATTTGCAGAGACAGATGACGAATTTTTAGCGACAGATATATATTTTTTAATAATTTCATCTTTTTGAGTATAAGGCCGACAACTGCTGGTTTCGTCATCAATATCATCATATTCATAATTAAATTGTGCATAACAACAGAAAACATTAAATTGCTTAATGCTTGTACATTCCAACATTTCAGTTGTCTCCTTGTATTTCCAGTTCTTTACAGCAAAATTTTACTATTTTTCGCTCAACTTTCAAATCTATGACAGTAGATTGTCAATGAATCAAAGCAAACGATTAAATTATGCTCGTAAATAGACATTATTTTAGAAAAATCGAACTGAGATGTTTTAGTAATAAATGCTGCCACCTGTCTTTTGTTCATGTTCGCTAGAATTTATTGAAAATTAGTTCTAAGACTTTGTAGACATTCTGAGTGTTTAATTATTTTATTTACTGAGCTAAAATTTCTTATGCCCTATATTAGCGTTACTAATGTTTTCGGTTTGAAAATTATCTCTGACAATAAAACTCGAAAATCTGTATGTTACAACTTTAAACAATCTAATTATCGGAAAAGAATAGCATAGCAAATAACAGTTTAGCAACTGACACATTACCTCCAGTTACATGCCTAAGAATGATTTATATTGATTATCATATATGCTAATTTCTATGTGCTTAAATTCCTTGACCTACATTTCCAGGAAGTATCGGATAGAAAATGAAATCTTCCAAAAATGCGGATTTTACTCCACCCAATTCTGTTCATTGTGTCATTTGTCTTTAATTTCAAATGTCACGCTTCGCGCGTCGCCATAAACCTAAATTCCGCTAAATTTAAATGGCATATATAAAGAAACGTGCGTATGGTCAAGCATGGCTGTGTTTTGTCGTGATAAATCAAACCTATGTCCACAGTAAAAGTGTGGTTTAAGAAATATTTCTCTCGCATTTCTTTTTGTGAAAGAACTTTCAATCCAACCATTTTCCGGAAGATTTATTCTGAAGGACAAGGACTTTTCAAAAACAAATACGTACATTTTCTTCTCAATTATGATTTGACAGGCTTTTTATGTTTGTGAAAATGAACGTGGTTTATTCAATAAGATAAAAAACGTAGAACTAGAGTGATAATTTTTTGAATAATTCTTCTATATTTGGCAGTCACCATTAGCAAGTTAGTAGCTAATTAAGTAGCAAATGACTGTTGAATTATCCACAGTAGCAATTTTATTGCATTTATCGTACTTTTTCGATACTAAAATGCCATCAATTTAAGTTGTAAAAGGCTCCCCTTAATTTCGGTATCACTAACTGTAAAAATTTTGGTTCTGATAAAAAAATTAAATAGAAAACTCAAATATATGCTATTTTTAATATAACTAAATTAAACTTACCAACGGCAATAGTGTCTATTTATCGACTTCCTATTTACGACTTAAAATTTCTAAATTCATATGTAATTAAGCATAGTTGCTTTAATAATTTGTAACTAGTAGATAAGCTGTAATAGTCTGGTTCCAATACACGAGTTCACTTTTAAATTTTGCAATAGAGAGCAACTAAAAGTATGGAGAATCAAGCGAATTTCCAGTACTTGGTATTGTGGTGTAAGTGGTTTTCACGTCTAGCTCAGAATTAGAAAATACATGGTTCGAAGTCTTGCAAATGCACACTTAATTCTTCATCCTGGACCAAAATGTCTAATGGTCTCTACAATACTTCGCGAACTAAAATGGGATGGACAATAATTTGTTACTCCCTGAATTTAGTGGACATGATCTCATGCCTTTCTCCAGTCGTACCTCATATGAGGAAGAATAAAAAGAATTATCTCATTCCCCAGTACGTGCTGTTGTAAGTGGAAGATCCGTGACTAGAATTCCACAGAATTCATGATTGATCTTTCATGCTTCCTGCACCGAAAAGCTAAATAGTTTTCTGCAGTTATAAATAAGAAATTTCCGTTATTACTGTAGCTAATTTTCATATGAGAACAAAGATCACAACTACCGATTTTCAAAGAAGCTCATTGACCATTAAAGGATTTGTATCATGATTAGGATCATGAATCAAATTAAACGTTAAGTAAAGACTGAATAAAATAACGGTTAAAATGTTTTGATATATATTTGGGATAAGAAGTATATAAATTAGATTTTTTTGGCGCACAAAACAAAAAAAAAAAGGTTTCCTTGTTTCATAATAATTCTAAATTATATTTTCTCTAAATATGAATCTCATTGAAACATAACTAAGTATTAGAAAGAGCAACCGAATCCTGAAAATTAGAAAATCAGACTAATGATCAAGCTTATATAAGCAGTCCTTGGATTAAAATTGGAAAGCATTCCTTTTCAGTTGCAAGAAATAGTAGCTCCTTAATATTATTCTTTTTCAGCATCTGTTGCTAATTTTAATCATAATTAAGGGAAACTGCTCTGGTTTTTTTCGATTAGTTTCACGAATTTTAGAAACTTTCTGATGTTCCACGAAAATTAAAATTTTCCAGCGAATGTTGAGAAGATTCGCATATTTGTTTTTTCCGATTATTTCTTTTTATTTTTGCTGAAATTTACTAGGTTATTTTCCATTTCTGAATAATTTGTATTCCACCTTTCTTCAGAATTGACATAGAAAACGTACTATAAAATAACCCTATTTCAAAATTCATACCAGAACCTGAATTTTTGAATGACCCATTCAATTTTTGCTTGTGTTACAGAATATTAGATAAAATGAATTTCCAGTTCGACATAATGTCATTATCTCTTAGTTCTGGTACACAGTTTCGAGCTGAACGATTCCTATTATAAATTTAAAAGAAAAACAATTAACAAAGAAAATCTCTTTGCGTGTAGTGAAGCATTTTAGAGAAAGTATCATCTTCTGTAATGGAAATCTTGATCTCATAGAATAGATATTGCTGCTGGAATATGATTAGTTTACAAATCATCGATATTTTTTTGCATCCATTTTTGATACTTTATATTACGGTAAAAGAAACAGATGCTAGTTTTGAGATGAATATATGAAAGTTTTTATGCATAAAATGTAACTCGAATTTAATGAAAGCCAAGCACCTGTTGGGCTTATACTTGTGTTTCCTGGAACCACGGATTTTTCAGATTCTGGCGTAGCTACCACGAAATGCAAATTTCAGTTCATTTTAGAAATGTCTAACGAAATGCTTTTAAAATTGCATGCTAATTTTTATGCTATTACTTTCTGGCAGATTTCTTTTTTCAAAATGTTAAAGTAAACCCTCCTCTCAAAGAATTTTACGAAATTGTTAGCATAAATCTCAGGCGGCGAAAATTTCATGAAATTTCAGTAAGGCCACAGAAACTTGGTTCCTTCATGACTGCTCCACAAATTTTGACAATTTTTCCTAACTACAATCATTACCATAGTTATAATGCGCATATCACTTTATGTGAACTTTATTGCGGTTGCAAATATTCCATGATTTAAGATATTTCTTTATGTTTTATCTTGTTTACAAATCATCTAAATATTGTTACATTCTTGTTACAAATCACCAAATTTTTATTTTGTAAGCACATCATCTAATAATTATACTGTGGAACCCGTGAAATTTATTAGGGGTAAGCAGAAATACTTTTATGATCCATTCAAATGGATCCGATCAATTCCTAACATAGCAGATGAATCAAGTAGAACTGTACGTCAACACCAGAGGCGAGTTCGTAAATGTATGTTACATATGAAGTGGATAAGAAGTGTTTTTGAATTGATCTTATGACAGTTTCTGGATAATTTCAGGGTGTATGTTTAATGGAAAACCCGTGGAGGATGGAAGGACGGTTTCAAGTCCTGAGCCTTGTCTCAATTGCACATGTAGTAAAGGCATTCTCCTCTGTTACTTGCGCACCTGTACTACAGTCATCCCTACTCCTGGATGTCAGGTGATAAGAAAGCCAGGAAAATGTTGTCCCCAACTTGAGTGTAAAAGTGAGTACAAATCTCATTAGCTTTAACGTGGACTATCCCACACAGCATTCACCACAGTTTCTCAAACTAGGAATCCTAACTCTCTTGAGATTGCATGAAAAATATTCAGGGTCATAGAAATATTATAAAATTTGATATTTTTATCAATAATTAAAACACCGATACTTATAATCTATACAAATTATGTTTTTGTACAATTCTTAAAGCGTTTATGTATCGTAAAATGGCTCACAGTTAATTTTGTTTATTAGAATTTTTGTTCTATGGTGTAAAATTTTATTTAACTAACCCAGTTCGAATTTGATATACTACTATTTTATTCTTCACTTTGAATTTCGAGATGCTCTATGCTTTTCTTTTCTCATTTTTAGGACATCTCTCACTGTCTCTAGATGTCTTTAAGAAACATAAAAGAATCAGCTATCTAATTTATGCTGGTGGCAGAGCATAACTGATTAATCACTATTTTATACACTTTTCAATTAATACAGGGGCTTTACAAAATGATATTGCAGCGAATTTAAATTAGCAACTCAAGGGCAACTTGAAAGTTTGAAATTTAACTACATTCAACTTAGCCTGTCGCAAATTAACATTTCTGTTTCATGCGACATTATAATTAATTTAACCATCCATGCTAGAAGCTTTGAGGTTATTTAAAAATATAGCGTTTTTAGAAAATTTCATTACGAGTTTTATATACTTCAATAATTACCAACAAGCGTACTTCCAATTAAAAAGTTATATGGACAGATGATGCAAAACATTACAATTAGTAGAACATTCATTATACTTTAATGAATTAAAACCAAACATTCTATACCTTTGGAAGTAAAATTCGCTAAAATATTTAAGAATGAATTTAACGATTTAGAATATTTTTCCATGTTCTTTATCATAAAAATTCAACTCTTTTTTGAGAAAATTTAGGGAACTATTACAAAATGAAAGTCGCTTGCTTTGATGATTAATGTTACCGTGTTAGATAAAACAACACTAAATTAGATAGACATGAATATTATTTATACACTTCTCTGCTAATTTCAAACGTAAAATATAGAATTATTTATATTTAATTGATAATTTAATACAATAATTATTTTATTAATTGGCAATTTTTCTCTAAAGAGAGTATATAAATAGTTAGATTTTGCATTTGCACAGTTCTCCAACCCGCAGTCCTTACCATTAAATAAAGAAGTGTTAAATTGTGCGATTCCCCACTTTCGAATTGCAGATACTTTTAAGTAATTTGATATTTTCTTCAATGGATGGTATTTTGGGAAGCCAACAGATTTTTGTTTTGTTTTGTTTTTTTTACTTACTTGCATGTTATCTAGTAAATCTGTGTCATATTCTAAGACAACATTAAATTGTCTGAAGCACAAGGTTAACCAATGAAGTACTAAAATTAGAGGAAGAACTAAGAGCTGGACATGAGAATGCATGTAATTTACTTTTAAAAATTATTTTCATTTTTAATGTGTTTTTTAAAGCTTAATGTAAGTATGTTCAGTGTTAGACAAATTATCATTTAAGAACATCTCGTAAAGTATTTTTCAAAACTGAGAATTCAAAAAAAAAAAAAAAAAATTACTAGCGAGAATAATTGGAGGGGCTCTGCGGCACACAAAAACAAGTAAATCAGAATTCCCCTTTGGTTTACGCGTAAGTTAATAGAAAAAAACTCACTAGGCTATATTTTTACCCTATATTATCATTCGAAAATTTAACTACATCCACTGGAATTCAAGTCCCGCTTCTTAAAAAATTCAAATAAAGCCAATTTCGGAAGACTGTATTTAGGTTAGTTTGATTGCTCACTTTTAAAACTTTTAAGTTATTACTTAGTTTTTAATGAGCATTGGAAGGAAGAAATTATTTTACATCTTTAAATGCCGTTTCTAATTCCTTTCATGCTAAGTAAAATTCTTCTCAGCTGTTACAGGAAAATGCAAAAATATATTTATTCCTGCGGGTTAAAAAATTATATCCTATTATAGCTGATGTCCTATATTTTAATTGCAACAACATCTTTAAAAACACCAAATGAGATACGACTGTGCCTTCAATCAGCTTATGTCTCACTCAATAAATATTTTGCATTAAATGTCTATGTTATTAGGTAAGTACATAATATTTAATCCTTGATTGTGTAACACAAATAAAGATAATATGAGAGGTTCACTGTTGAGTACCTAATTTGAAAGAGTATCTGCAGACAAAAAAACTGAGTGAGTTAACACAGTTAATTTTCCAGATAATCCAAAGATTACACTGGTAAGAAAGATTATGTATTTGATTTTAAATACATAATCTTTCTTTTTTTTGATAAAAAAATGAGCATAACATGCATTAATCTAAGTAAAATCATAAAAAATTAACGTCATTAAGATTTTTCTTCAAAGAAATTTATATAGTTTTCAGCTAGGTCATGTGCTTATTACATATTTATAGTATAAGAGAATCACATTTATAGCTTATATAGTATACATAGTCTACATATTAAATTAAATATATCATAAGGTTATAGAATCACATGTTCAACAATTTACTTTCCGTTTAGCTTGTGAAAAAAGTGTGCAGAAATTCATAAAACCAACAAAAACAAATAGGTATATCCCTTATAAAAAATATACTCAACTTTAAACGACAAAGATAACATTAAATAAAACATAAATATGAATAAAATTATAGAAAATTAACAAGTAAAAAAATCTATGGTTTCCGGGAAATATTCATTCAGTCTTTCTTTCTTTTCGCCATCAACAGAACAACACCTGGCCTACTGGGTTAAGTGCTCTTCAGCCTGTTGGATCCCGTCGACGAAATTTAGAAAAAAAAATCGGGTGTGTCCACCATATGACTTCCTTGTATGGAATATTAAATTATACGCATTTGTTCTTGACACTCTGGCGCTAGGTTCATTTAGCAGCGTTACATCTCATTCATTTTATAACTCAGACTGTACAAAAATTATATCATCTGAAGAATTATCTAATCGTTGCCACATGTTCTATTCAAATACTATAATAAATCTAAAATGATGTATAAAAGAAATTAAACAAACAACAATAAAAAAAAGAAACAGTTTTTTCACAATTGATTCAGTATTTCTCATTTACTTAGTTCAGTTCTCACTTCGTGATATAGTAAGAATATATAAAAACTCAAAATATCTATATTAAAAATTTTAAAGGAAATCTTAAGCACTTATTTCTTCCAATAAATCCCAGAATGAATTAAGCATTATTTAATTCGCAATAATAAAAGAAGGCGTTATCTTTGTTGTTGCGCAGCCTAGTTTCTGTCGATTGGCAACAAATCCACTATTCTGCTGAGTTTCAAATGTAAACAAATAGCAGCACTTAAACAACTTGGTGATGTTGTTTAAGTGCTTTAAACTGTTGACTTAAATTGTTGATAATTGTACAAATCTTGCATACAGATTTAGTAAAGGCATAAAAACCTTAACCGGAAGATAAGATCAACATAATTCCATCACTTTTAAAGCAAAAATGCTCAATTTACCAACATATAAGAATAAAAAAAACCGAGCTCACTGAGCCGAGTAATAGAGTGGATATATATATGTACATACATTTATATACTTTTGGTGCGGCCGACTGCAACTAAAATAGGAGTTACACATATACATGTTATAGCAGTCCTATATACAAAATTTCAACGTTATGAGGCTACTCCTTTTTGAGTTATGCAAGATACATACATAAGTACGTACGCACATATGTATGTATGTATATGTATGTATATATATGTAGGTATGTATACGTATGTATATATATGTATATATATGTAGGTATGTATACCTATGTATATGTATGTTGGTATGTATATGTATGTATATGTATGTAGGTATGTATACATACATATGTATGTACATGTCCGTGCGTACATATATATGTCAACACAGAAGCCACGAAAAAATCTCTTCAGAATCCATTTTAAATCAGTTTTACTTTTTTTTTTTTTTTTTTTTGTGGAGGAAAGAGTCCTTTAGTCTGTCCTTACGTACAGATGTCACGCAAAAACATCTTTAAATTGCATTCGATAGAGGTCTAAGTGGATATTTTCGTTGAAATATAGTGCCCGAAATTTTTCGCGATTGCAAAATTTCCTTTTTACTTCATATAAAGGAAGTAAAAAGCAGTTTAGTACTGTGTTCACCGGAAATTGATAACATTTAGAGCTTAGCCTTGTGTTAAGTGACGAATACTGAAATGATGACTAGAACATGGAAAAGAAGTGCAAGGGGGGACTGTTGAGACTAAGGAGAAAATGCTGACCACATATCTTGAGCACTGCAAGGTTGATGTTGCTTGCAAGGGGGTACTGTTATTGTTAAGTACAATGTATTCATAGTTATAATGGTTACTCATAGTTATACAATTAAATTAAACACATATTAAATACATATTAAATACATAAAACAATTGGTGCTGTAGATGTAACATTACCAAGAGCTTAGACACAGGTACCGATGTAAAGATGAAATCTGAACAAATACATTACAAATCATGAAATGCATTAAATGAGTGTTGGATTAATCATAATAGTAAGAATTATTAAAAACAAATCAAATTTAAAACAAAATAAAATCAAAACTTTACGTAAATTAATATATGTAGAGAGCGGGCTGCTGACGGCACGGTTTCGGAGGTAAGTAAACGAGAAGTCACTCCAGGCTGCCAGCAATACCCTTAGCAACATTAGTACAGTCTCCAATGCATCTGAGCGCATATTTATTCTTATTTGTATTCTTGACCCATGCCGGCATACTGATTACAGCGGATCTTTTTTAATTCGTGTTCACTGACTGCGGGCAATCACCAGTACTGCCACAAATACAATGGTTGCTGTCTCTTAGACCAAATCTGTGGAGATAGAACATATATGGCCATGCCCTGTCAGATACTGTATGATTTATTTTCACTTCTAATTGTCAATAATTTACTTTCTGTATTATTCGTGGAAACTGTGGAAGAAACTTTAAGGGCTAACATTTTTTCTTCTTTTATTAAACATGAAGCGTTTTCAAAAACCATGATATTTATGAATGCCTTTTTTCACATGGTAGGTTCTTCAACAGTAAACGATTACAGAATAGAAAGAACTAGTGAGTCAAGCTATAAATATCGTTTAAGGCAAGATGAAGGTAATTTCTTTGGACTCATAGGAATGGATCCTCGCACAGAAAAGACATCTACCATTAAAACCACCAGGAAACCTGCACCTAGCCAATGGAGCAACCATGATAGCACTCAGTATGCTTGGAATTCTGATTCCACATCTGACAACGAGTTTCGTCCACCTTTGGCTCAAGAACAGGATTACGTTGAAGATGAATTTTCACAAGACAAGAATAATTCAGCTGGATGTACGTATGTATTGCTTTTCTGTATACACTTCCATTTCTGCCGCAATAAAAATTGCTCTACAGATATTTTTGAGTTCTGTTCTTAATTAAAAATTTACAGATTGGATGTAGATTTGAGCAGACAAAAAAATAAGTCTATTTTGAAAATAAAAGTTTTGATTTTATACTTTAATAACTTAGTTTAATTTATAGTTTGATAATGGTTAATTTAAGCTTATTTACAGTTTATAGTTATGTAATAATTTTTAATTAAAGTTTAATATTAGTATATATTATAAAATAATTTTATTTTTAACAAAGGTTTATAGCATATACCGTTACTATATTTTAAAAATAAAAAACTTTATTTCTAAATTTAGAATAAAATTTAGAATTTTATTGCCACTATGAAATTTAATAATATAACTGCTTAATGAGTTTTCTGTTCCTGCTCAAAAAGATTATCTTTTCTATCAATGTCTACGAAAGGACACCTTGAGTACCTCTGTCAACTGAACTAGCTCTGTCAATCAGTATTCAGAATATATTAGCAAATGTTTCTGACTTCTCTTTTGCTAAAAACCTTTTGCCTCAGATCATTTAATGCATATTTTGCATTAAATGATCTGAGGTATTATAAAATTAACAAATATGTGTTATACAACTGACAGCTAAATACTATGCAGTTTATTAAGTACAAGTGGTAGTATAGAGATAAAATCGACTCCTGATTCACCTGGGTAATACTAAAGACGACGTCACGGTTAACTAAAAAACATAGTTAATCCGAAGGCGATTAAAAAACTACCGTAAATATAAGTAACTCATAGAAAAATATCATTAATGATTTACTTGAATTTTTAGCAGTTTAATTTTGGAGGTTAAATCCATTTTATTGCGTAAATGAAATCAGTATTCAATAGAAAAATAATACATTTTAAATAACTGGAGAACAAATATTACTAAAAATGAAGAAACTAAGTTATAAATTGCAATTAAAGAACAATACTCACAAAAGACCTTGAACACACAAGTTGAAATAGAACTCACTTGAGGAAGTCAGTTAGAGCTTTTCTTTATTTACTGCACAACATTTATCTATTTCGAATTATATACTAATAAATTACGTACTGTTGTGGATAAATATTATTCCTAGATACTATAACATCATTTATTATCACTGATTGGTATCCCACGTACTTTTCGTTTCCTTATAAGTTATTTTCTCCCTTCTTTCCGCACGCCTTCGTGGTGTAACTGAAAGCACGCTTGTAGCGTATTCGAGATGTCCGGAGTTCGAATCCCGCGAGAGCACTGTGGATTACTTCAGTTACCTGACATCGAAAATTTCTAAAAACGTCTGTACAAGTGGCTCCAGAACTAAAGGTGGGAGACCATAATTCGTCACCACCAGGATTTGGCGATTGGGTTCCCTGATCACCACTCGCTGTTTAAAAGGAGGAGTATAGAAGGTATTTTCTCCCTTCTTTCCTCATGACTTCGTGGAGTAACTGGAAGCATGCTCAAAGCATACTCGGCAGATCCGGAGTTCGAGTATCCGGCAAGGGTACTGCGGATTTCTTCAGGTGCCTGATATCGAAAAATTCTAAAAAAAGTTCTGCATCATGTCAGAGGTTTTATTTTACGCTTATGATTTGTGATAGTAAGTTTTTCATGCGTTCGTCAATATGTAAATGGATTAATAAGAAATAGGTTAATCCGTTTCTGATTAATCAGGAACTGGTTGTAATTCTTTTTCACTACCATCTACAAAAAGGAAGTTTTTGCTTTTTTAAAATAATAAATACTCTAATAACATATTTTCAATTAATTCAATTAAACAAGGTATAATATTACAGATTTCTTTTTTAAACACTTTTTTCATAGATTCTTTCTTAAGGAAAGGATCTTTAACTTGTCACGGAAAAGTACTAAAAAGGATATCTTATTTTCAAATTATTTCCTTTGTCCTATTGATAAAGGACAATAGCAATACGGAGACGGTTGCAATATGGAGAATGAATGAAAATCTTACACCATGAATTGAGAGCACCCTTCCAGTTTTGTTCTGAACAACTTTTTTTCAAATTAAAATACATAAATATATAAATCATTTTTTACAAACACCTATTTCATGTATTGATTCAGTTAGTTGACATGACACCAAAAATTCTTCTGCAGGATGCTGATGTTGCAGGAATTTAAAACGTACACGAAACTGTTTTTAAAATATTCATATACAGCTCTTTTTAAAACAATATTTTAAACAAATTAATGTTACTTAAACAAAAAGGTTATCCATATTCAAATCCACCTTTTCTTTTAATTCCGAAACTTCAATAACTTAGTGTGTTAGAAATGAATTATTTAAGTGACTGTTGACAATCTGCCAAATATAGAATTTTCACTAAAGTGTTCTAAATAAGTATTTACTGAAATTTAGTCTTGAATAATCTTTAAGATTTCGCATTAGCCAGTTTTTTCAAATGCAGATAAACTTGAGATCCAAAATTCTCCTCATCATATCGAGATTTAAACTCATTCTTAAGTTTGTCAAAATACTAAGAATATCTACACTAAAAATTTTTATTCTATAGTTCGTTAACGGCTAAGCTGAATATCAACATTAAACGTCGCGAGAACGATAAATATATTTCAGTCATTGATGTGATTGCTGTAGAATTATGATCAATTAGCAGTTTAAATAATCATTTAGAGTAATCAGTTGGTCTGATTAAGCAATGATAACTTAGGCAATTTTAATTTAGGGACATTTTGTGTTTTCTCTGAACTTGAAAAAGGACAAAAACAGGAAAGTTGTTGGCAACCTTAGTTTTATCCGACACATAATGTTGTTTACCGATAACCACTATAACGCCATGCTTAGGTCTTTCATTTTTAAGGTTACTGAATAGCTTCTGTAGAACCACATTTCTCTCTCCGGACCTTAAATTACGTGTTTTCACCATAGCTGTATAAAAGGAATAAAATCAATTGGTATAGAGTATCAAAATTCTATTTCATAAAAGTAGAAAGTAATGTATTCAAAACTGTTCTCCCTATTTCTATCTTCTTAATCCAAAATGAATTTCTAAATCAAGCAATCATTTCGATAACTATTAAGGAAGTCCTTATTAAAGGGTTTCCGCTTTCCCTCGTCATTTTATAATCGTAAATACTTATTTTTAATTTAAAACATTTTTTTTTTTTTTTTTTTTTTTTTTTTTTTTTTTTTTGGTTTCTTAAAGTTTCTTAACTTCTTATTCCTTCTTGTATTAAAAAAAATATTTCTCGAGCATTTCCAGCCCTGCTTCTTGTTTTTTTAACTCTTTTTGTAATGCCCTCTATCTTTCTGTGAAACACTTAAATATAAACAGTTAAATGTATATCGATATACCCAATGCTTCAATTACAAGATCTCTCTCTTAGCTCTAAGCAGCATCTTTCAATAGTAATATTTATCTTTGATGAGTTTTTCAAACAGAAACTTGTCAACAAGTCTAATAAATACAGTTCTTAGGGCTAATTAACTATTTTACGTCTAAGGCCCTCAATTTTCTTTGTTTTTCATTACGAGCTTTAATAAAAAGTTATATTCATTATATTAGCCACTATAAAGTTTTATACTGTTGCTACTGTTAAATTTATTTTTTATTGCTAGACTGCATGTTCTCTCCATAGATGACTTTGAAATGCTTTGAATTTAATGCAAAGATATACATATATAAATGAATATAGTTAATATTTGAGTATTATTACAAAGTTACATTTAAATAGCACATCAATATTTAATTAGTAAAACATTTCCGTTTATTTAACATTTATCGCCCTCAAAATACCGAAGGAACTTAATATCATAGAATAGCTATAATACTAATAGTAAGAATGCAATACAGGCACTCGTCGAAGGTAGATATATATAACTGTAGAAATAACGCTTTAATAAATGTAGGAGAAGCTTGATGAAAAGGTTTATCAATATTAGAGCTGGATTTTTTTAAAAGAAATTATAAATTACCATGGTCATGAATTCAGCATTTTTTGCTTTGTAAAAAGCTGACATGTATAATTAAAAGCCTTTTTTACTAGATATGGTGCTGGTAATGATATGCAAAGCATATTATTATTTTCTTTATGTAACATGTATAAAATTATTAAATAAATTATAACTAACCTTACCATAACTATAAAATTATTGCCTATTGAAATCTAAAGCCCTCTGTCATTTTTTATGCCTAAGTACTCCTAAATAAATAACTCTAAGCATTCGAGGAGACTGCATTTGGAGAAACATTAATTTACACTGTTTTTTTTTATTATTATTTCGTTGATTATATCAAAGAGCTGTGAGAGCAAATTGCCCAAGGGAAAGAATGACGCCATGGAGAATTTTCTAATGACTGATTCAAAATAGCTTTTACTAAGAAACAATTCGATGATAAGTACAGAAATACTGCCAGATTCATAGCTCAATTTTTATCGCAAGTTATTTTACAGTACATAGAAACCGTGCTAGGGTAGTGAACAAACTATGACTTTTAAACTGTAAAATTTCTTTTAAGAATAACCTGCATAACTCAAATTACATTCTTACTTTCCAGATTGCTTTTCCAAAGGATACAAATATACTGAAGGTATGGCCATGCTATCCCCAACTAAATGTGAATACTGCTACTGCATTCGTGGACAGCAGATGTGTGTGAGGCCAAAATGTCACCTGAATGTCGACGGTTGTGTGGCGCGGTACCAAAGTGGCTACACCTGTTGTCCATCCCATTACCAATGTGGTACGTCTCACGACTTATGTTCTGTTTAAATTCTTATAATATATGATACTGATTTAGGCATTTATCTTATCCTAAACTTTTAACTTTTATTTATTGTATCTATTTATGTATATTATTGATTGTAATATTTATATATTTATTTCTTGATATTTCATTTTTATTATGTAATTATCAAAATTCTAAAATTTTATTGTCACACATTTGATGATTCCATCAGTTGAGCGTAAAAGCTGAATGTCTTAAAGGCGGTGCAGCTGCTCATCCGATGGTAAATAAATAAATAAATAAATAAATGATACTGATATTAAAGATGAAAGTTAAATCCATCATTGAGAAATACGATAGACTGTAAACCACGAATTTAATTATATTTGTTTATTGATTCTCTTAACATAATTCATTAATTAATGATTTAATTGTAATCTCAATCATCCATATTTACAGTAAACAAATATTTTGTCAGTTTCCTTTCCTCCATATTTCTGAAACCAAGGAACAACCACCTGTTTTCCTCAAATGCTTATATTGACTAGCATATAAACTTGAAATGCTATATGTATGTTTGCTATACAATCTTTCAATCACCAGTTGATGTATTGAAATGAAAATTTGCATATGTGTAGGCAAAGGAATAGATAAAATTTAGCTTGTCGAGGAGCTCGAAGTTTAGCAGCGATGCCAAAGTAAATGCTAGAAATTCTATAGATAAATTTATGAGTCGATGCATTTTTTAAAATTAAATACCCCACGCATTTCGTACTAACTCCAGCACGCAGATGATATGAAATGCATGAAAAAATGATGCATGCATATGTACATAAATAATATATATACATATGTAAGATAAAAACATAGATGAAAACTATATATACATAAAAATATGATTTTTATCAGCAATAGCCCTATAGCCCTTTAATGCTTAATTTTTAATTTGGATAGTTTTAATTTCCCCTCTCTATTTTAAAATAGTAATAATTTTTCTGAACTTCGTCATTTCGAGATCAGTCCGTATCACATCGGTTATGTAATGCAGTCGAAGTAGCTAATTCGGAACCTACTCAAAATTTCGTGAACCGAAACCTTTCTCTTGGTGTGCGCACTTTATAGGATAATTGTGCACTTTTGTTTCTTCCTCTGTGCTTGCGAAAGACGCTACTTTCTGTTTCTCTTCATATCACTACAAAATCAAAACTGTTCTGAAAGAGGCATGATTAATTTGCCGAGTACTCCTGGCAGCAAAATATTTAACTGCAATAAAAGAAATATGATTTAAATCTGCTACGACTGCTTCTCATTGCATCTATATGACTTTCAAGTTTCTACTTCATTCCAGATCTACCACCTATGCTTCAATATCTGTGTGCCCCATGCCAAAATCATCACATTTAATCAAAGTCTGACAGAATCGAGCTTGTAAAAAATAATTATGTTTGAAAATTGGTCTATGGAATTTATTGTTGTATATATAAGGTTTAGTTTAATTAGCATATTTTCATGTTAATATTTTGCTGCACCTTCTAATACTTCCATAGGCCTTAACAAGAATGCAAACATGTCTGAGTCTGAATATCGGACGAACGTATAGTGAGATAGCATATCAGTTTAGCCTGAGATAAAGAGCCATCAATCTAAGCGGCCTGTGGATTTAATGAGCTAAAATTATATCTTTTAGAGCATACAGATAAAATCTCTTCAATTAGCTGGATTCGAGAGTTATTTAATAATTAAAGCTTGGTTGCCTGTTGTACTTATGTAAATACCTGAGTTACTGAAATCTTGCAAGCATCAATGGCTAGTAGAAGTTAAATTTTAGTTATACAACTATGTCGTAGTTTTAATAAACTATGACTTCAGCAAATAAGTTTGATCTCTTAGCTGTGTTACCGCAGTATAGTTAGATTTCTGTTTATTTGCGAATTTTTAAGATCTGCGGATTCGTCTCATCTTTTATCAGGAATTCAGGGTGAAGAAACACATTGGATATTTGAAATAAAAGGAAATAAAAATGTCTTCTATTACTTCCCATTGTTGTAATAAAAAGCCACAATCTTCTATCTTGGGATAAAAAGCCACAATATTTTATCTTCGGAAGCCATAATCATTGATCGAATTAGATTTTCTGTTAATAGAGATTTTCCAAAAACACCATAAATCTTCCTGCAGAATGATCTAGTTAATGACGCAATTTTCACTCTCTTCGCATTGAGAGAGTATAAAAACCTCTCCCGAATCAATATAAAATCAATATTCTTCTCAAATACGTATATTTTTTGAAAGTCAGTCTCAAACGAATCCCCAATTAAATTATTTCCAATCAAAAAGCTATTTTCTTCCTTATAGAGTATCAAAAGTTATTTATCACAGTTTATTGAAACTCAGATCGCCATATCTTATAACACAGAACTACAAAAAGCCGAAAACCGTTTCGTTCTAGGCAGTATTTTTCATATTACATAAACTAAAAATAAGAAGTAGTTTTATTACATATCACTTACAAAGTCATTCAGTGACTCATTTGTTCGAATCGAATATAAAAAATTCGTGGTCTTATGAAATGCTGTAATTAATCATTGAATGTAAAAAAATGCCAATCTCCACTTCTATAAGATATCGCTTTAAAGTGACAAATGTAGAGAAAAATCTCTCTCCAGTATGCAATGGAAATCGCGAAAGCAACATGTTCAATTTCAGAGTGGGACCGTTTTTGCAGAATAGTTTATTAGCATTACATACTAGTTATGTTCCACATAAGAGGTTTTCATGTAAAATGAGCGTTATGTTTGAGATGTATTATGTTATTCTAAAATTATACATTTTGGCACTTCTAAGTCAAACCTAGAAGCGCTGCTTGGGGTTTCTTAAAGTTTTGCTGAAATGTTTTTTTTCATTATATCCATAAGTTAATCAGTAGCTCGACGCTTACATTTGGGAATGGTCATCCCATTTCACGGAAAACTTGTAAAACTTATAAATATTTACTGAACATAATTACAGAGATCAAGGTGTAATATAAAAAGTTAAATTACGTAATTTTTACAAAGAACATTTTTTATTTTACAAATAACAAACTTAAATTTTTGCTTATTTAAAACCTTTTTGTAAACTGAAAGTATATGACTGCAACTCGCATTGCCAAAATAAGAACCGTATAAGGTTTTTTTTTTTTTTTATGGGCACGCCATATATAGAATTTTCCTTTAAATCTACGCCAGGCTAAGATTCAGTTTTGCTTGCGATTTTTTTTTAAAAAGTCATAAGTATAATTTTATGAGTCAAATTTCTAAATGGTTTTAGACAACTTATTAATACATTTCAAGCATGGCATTCTGAAAGGGTTGGGGGGCTTTCAAAAATGGTACACCCTAAGTCAATATAATACATTCAGAAAAACTTCATTCAACAAATACAATAAATTAAGTTACTATGAAATCTATTCACAGTTTTATATCAACTCATTTTGAATTTATGAACATTTTTCTGTTTTTCAGAGATAGCTGCTGATAGCTCACACAGTAGTAACGATGATGGAAGCTATACCTTGGATTCCATCAAAGGGTCATCTTCTGCTCTTAGTAAAGGTTAGATAAACATAACTTTTTTTTTTTTTTTTTTTTTTGTAAATTTTAATGATTTTTTTTCTATGAAGTTTAGAGAATCTTTAAACATTTCATAGAAAACCTATATGAAAATTTCTACATTCATGTTCCGTTAAAAACGGGTTTCAGAAAATTTTACGAAAGAAATTAAATATTGCTCGTATAAAATAAAGAAAGATTTTATCTTTAAGTTAATTATCCTATCCTTTCATGATTATTAGACTAAAACGTGAACATCACAACTTTATGACAAAAAAAAAAGTTTATCTCTTAAGTTCTGTTTTGAAAATTATCGAATAAATTTCTCTACCAGTTCAGTAGAGGGATATTTAGTTCTTAAAATTTCAACTTAGTGATTTTATAACTACTTATTTATAAAACTTAAATCTAACATAATATTTGTCTTCCACTCTCGTGTCTTCACAAACGGGTCCCATTGATGTGCAGAATTAAAAGGTAACATAATTAAAAACAACATTTCTCGTTAGGAAAGAAAGAAGACTAAAAAAAAACTTCAATAGAACTTTAGTAGAGATGTAGTATTACTAAATTTATATATCACAGAGTTGCAAAAATATTATTATATCGAGAAACTTTTCTTGTCTCAATAGAGAAGACAAATTAAAGAACCCACTCTTTGGTTCCCAGAAACAAACAATAATGCAAGATTCCCTCGGAACTGGGCTTCAAGTCCGAAAGGCAAGTCAATTCGGCATTGGTTTAAAATTTCTACATACTCTTCCACTAAACCAACTCGGTAAGACTTGTGTAGTTGGCTTTGGAGTTAACAGGAATTTTCGTTTTCGTCTGCGACAGCGTAATATACAGAAGGTTTTCACCAAAACTTATCTGTGAGTGCATTTTTCAAGTTACATTGCACTAATTTATATAATAGTGGAGTGTTTTCTATGACGACATATATAATACTTATGTAACTATATCCTATAAATGGTTAATGTGGTAATAAATGGTTAAACTATTCCAAAAATAAAAATTGAGCCCCCAGTTAGGATGAATTCTTGAGATTCGAGTTAACGAGGATTAACTGTATTATTAGTTTAAAACCAAGAATTAGAAAATCCCAATAGCTGCTTAGTAAAATAAAAAAATAACTTCGAACATTTATGCAGCTCTAAGTTAAAGGGCGTCAAACGCAGATGTTCTTCTGAGACCCTAATTTTAATGGATTTGCAAATTTGATATGCGTTCCTAAAAACTTAAAACATACTTATACGTTTTCGTTACATTATTTTATTGCTTAATAGGATTCTGAGAAAAAAAATGGGAACTGGAGGCGCTGGGTATCGATCCCAGTACCTCTCGCATGCTAAGCGAGCGCTCTACCATCTGAGCTACGCCCCCTCGGTGGTAAGTTGTAATTTAGTTTTCACAAGGTTAACGAGATATATCTTATGAAGTGCAATGTACAATTACCTCACGTCACTAGACAGCTGTATTTGCATTGGCGCTTTGCAATGAATAATTGATAAGTTCAATATCCTTATGAATTTTCTCTACAACAAATTGTGTCTCTATAACAAACACACTTTTTTTGGTGAAACAAAAGCCTATATTAAAGTTTAACTGCAAACCAAAGCTTTGCTTGCTTGATTTGACTATGATAAAGTCATTATATTCCTAAGGCCTAAGGGAAGATAATCGTCGCCTTCGTGGAGGCTTTTACTAACCAGCTCGTACTCATATTACATAAAAAATCGAATTGCCAGTGTTCAGCGTTTTAATATATCGATACATGACCACTGATAAGTTACAATACAAAGAGTCCGGTATTTGAAAAGCCTGAGTTCGACTCCGAAAAACGAAACGAAAGATCATCAATATCGTTTTGTTTTAATTATTTCTTGCTGCCATAGTGCCACTGGTGCTTAAAGGATCGCACTTACACACGTTTCTAGATATTAAGAAGATAAACTTTCCATATTATGTTTAAATTAAATAAGTCAATACAATCCATAATAAATCTCCATCTCTTTATTTAAAGTTAAATCTGTTATTAAATATACAATTTAATTATTAATATTTGATTCACTGAGTTGTTTTTTTAAATCCATGTCACTAGTTACTTCTGCAAGTAATCATTAGGGCAACTCGTCAGAAATATTGTATTATGTTCAGAACGTACACAAATTACTCCTTCTTACAAGTCTGCTCAAGTAAAAGAATCTCAAGCTGAAGATGTATTGCTCCCTGAAGCCGCCTTTTTTGCTCTCAACTACCAACTAATTACTTTAATTATTAAAGTAGTTGAATAATTCTGTTTTGCTTAAGAAAATTCCTTTATTTCTTTATCATTCTAAAACTGTATACACTACAAACTGAAATACAGGCGACAATTAATGCTTCCTTTCAGATGTAATTTTTTAACATTTCGAAACATACGAGGGCCATCCAGGAAGTAGATACGTTTCCGTCTGTGTCCGCTAGGGGCGGGGCTAGCGCGGCCATCTTGGGGTCAGAGCGTTGCGCAGCTCAGTCTGCATCTAGCCGTGCTAGTGAGAGGTTCGTGCTGTGCTCCGTTCAGATACTGTGACGGTTTGAAATGTCTGCGTTAATTGAAAATCCTGCGAGGTGCGCTCAGTAATAAGGTTTCTGACTGCAAAAACTGTAAACCGATAGAAATCTATCGGCAGCTTTCGTGAAGTGTAGGGGGGGACAACTTATCACTGAAGGTGGATGCGTCAGTGGGTCATAAGATTTCAAAATGGCCGAACCAATGTTCACGACGAAGATCGAAGTGGGAGACCCAGCATAGTGACCGCCGAACTCTCTCGAAAAAGTCGATGCTAAAGTCCGTGAAAATCGAAATTTCACAATAACGGAACTTTCTTTGAGTTTTTCCACAAATTTCGCGAATTTTGTTGCACGAAATCATCAGCGAAAAGCTGTTACCACAAGTCCACAAGATGGATTCCAAAAATCTTGACAGAGGACCACAAAAATCAGCGAATGCTGCAGCGTTGAACTTTTTGGACGCTTACCATAAGGATCTTGACTCTTTACTCGATCGCATCGTTACTGGTGACGAAACATGGGTGAAACATGTGAACTTGTGAAACGAAATTGCAATCAATGCAGTGGGGGCACACAAGTTCTCCCCAAAAACCCAAGAAATGCATGCAAACATGTCGGCAAGGAGATGATGGCGACTGTTTTTTGGGACAGAAAAGGTGTAATTTTGGTGGACTTCCTGGAAAGAGGCACTACAATAAACTCTCAAAGGTATTGCCAAACTCTCCAAAACTCAGAAAGAGCAATTCAAAACAAGCGCAGAGGAATGTTGAGCTCTAAGATCTTGTTGATTCACGACAACGCCCGGCCCCACACGGCAAATGTCACTCGTAAAGTTCTTGAAATCTTTTAAGTGGGAGTTGTTTCCTCATCCGCCGTACAGTCCCGACCTGGCACCGAGCGACTTCCACCTATTCCCAGCAATAAGAAGTGGCTGGCTATGCAGCGTTTTGATGACGACGCACAGCTGCAGAAGAGGTAACGAAGTGGTTGAAGGCGCAGGCGGCCGAATTTTTCGACGAAGGAATTTCCAAGCTCGTACATCGCTACGATAAATGCCTTAATTTGTATGGTGACTATGTAGAAAAGTAGTATTTGAGTGTGGCTTTCATCTGTATATAATAAAATTTGTTTCCTATACTTTGTTTATTTTTTTATTCCAAAACGTAATCTACTTTCTGGATAGCCCTCGTAGATATGAGTGTTCTTCAAAATTCTCACTATCGTCTTTCACTGAATATGCTTTTTGATAAAATTTAAAATTCACAGTTTTTGTTAATAAAGAAACCCCAATAATTTCTCTCTTTGTAGGGGGAACGAAAATCGTAATTTTGCTGCAAATATTTAAGATTTGCGATTTTATATATGATCTGCATGCCGCCAAACTATGAAATTACATTTTTCTTTTGTCACCTATGTGCATTTTTAAGTTTGCTTTGCAATGTTTTACATTACATCAAAAGAGAAAAATGCTTTTTATGTCAGCTGTATATGTGACAGTTAAATACAGATTACGTAAAACATTTTAAACTTTAAACATTATTTTTAAAATCCCAAACGGGGCTGTTAATCTCGAAACGCGTTTTGCTAGTTTCACTTTTCATTCGAGACTATTGCCATTTGAAAAATGTACTATATTATTCTTTCATATTGATACGGATTTGGTATTTAAATAGCTAATGTTAATAAGCTTTCTAAATGCGCGATAATTTTCTAGCACTTTCTCGAAATCAAGAGATATTTATTTATTAAATGTTAAATGCACGTGCTCTTGTATTTTTAATTTTCCGGCTTAGCTTTCCTTTAATATTCATCACGCGCTGCACTGCGCGGGGAATAAAACCATTTAATTTATAATTCAACTAACATTAGCTATTTAAATACCAAATCCGTATCAATATTTAATCTGTCTGCTACTAAGAAACAAACTAAACTATTTAAAAGCAACTGACCCAGTTCTTAAAAATATTATCTTTTTTTACTTTTTAATCTGATTGATTTAAGTAAAAATGAATTTCATTCACGATATACTAAATAAAAATATTAAAATTTTTGTAGAATTTTTTTAATGTGAAAAACATATATAACGTTACCATGTTAGTCTAAATGCATAGTTATCTGATATGCTATAAAATGTTTCACTATTTCACCTTAGCTATATCTATCGATAATCTCTGCTGGTAAACCCTATTCAACTTTAAAACAGCTCTAAAGTTCACCCCTTTTAGATTTTAATTACTTTTAATATATTTCTGAGACAAGTGTTTTCTTCAGATAAAGATTTTGCAGATTTGCTGTTTTGGCGAGATACTGATGATAAGAGTAATCATCATTTCACGGCAATGGCAAATACTGTCATTCACAAACTTCTTAATTAAAAACCCACAATAATTCCCTTTCTCTTCTTCAGTAACATCGTGCAATGTGGAAGGCTACGATTTTGACGTAGGCGTTGCTGTTCCAAGTAATGGCCATTGCCAGACATGCTACTGCACCCAGGTGGGAGTTGTCTGCCGGCGTCTCGAATGTTCACCAAGTGTTCCTGGTTGTACACCCGTCATTCCTGAAGGGCATTGCTGCCCCACAGAATACAGATGCGGTGAGTTTATTTCATATTAATACTCATACTCTTTCCAACAGTTTGGGATTCCTTGTGACCTTCAATATAGGCCCATTTATATTTTTACTGGCACTCCGCCTATGTCTCAAGGTTATTACGGTTCTTGCCACTGTGACTAATGGTACAGCACGACTTCACAGTCAATTTTTAAAGGAAAACAGGGGATGAATTCTTTGTTAAGAATACTCACGATTATCTAGTTATTTATTTTGCCTTGTAAGTAATTAGGCGAAGTCACTGCGCTCGTAAAAAATTTTACAAGCAAAGCTAATATACTTTTGGATCTAAAAAAATCTTCCAAAGATATCACTGCAAAAGGGAAGAAACCCTTGTCTAATTTTTTACCTCCCAGTCAAAGGGAATATTTTTATTATTTTTAACATTTGTTCTCTCTCTTTTCTAATTATTTTAAAAATTCTGTAATTTAATTTTACTTTGTTCTACTGCTAGGGCATCCGCTAAACATGAACTATGCCTGAAAAGGTTCCGTGCGTGTGTCATAAAAAATAAGAATAATTGCATAAAAATACAATTATCATCATTTTTGTAGTTGCATATACGCTACAAATAGATTTATTGCTTCTCTTCTTCTGTCGTATGTTATTTTGGATTTTCGTATAGTTTCCATCATGATTTCCATCCTTTGCAGGTTTTTCGCATTTAATTTTTTTCATTGTCCAAATCAAATTGCTCTCTTTAATTTAGAACATCTTTCTGTAATCTTCCGCAGCCATTTTTAGCAAAACTAGTTCAAATAAAAAACAATTTATTGATCATCTTGTATGAAAAGTATGAAAACGCACTGGTAGAGTACATATTAATTTAAATCTATTACATTATTGTTTGATTTAAATCTATTACGTAGTTTAAGAGATAAATGGAACACCTGATACCGACAGAGTATCAATTTTAGTCAATCGAGATATTTACCTGGCATGAAAGTAATAGATACTTCTTTCGGGTGTTATAAAATAAGAAAACCTAACTGCACAATTGGGCATAAAATGTAAATCTTTGAAATCATGGGAAGCAAAGGGAAATTATTATCACAAGATAAATTTAAGACGGATGATTGATTATTTTAATAATAAATCTTAAAAATTTGTGAATTTATTAAAACATTATTTTCGAACTCAGTTACAAAATGCATTCCTTTAATCCAAGTCATTGTGGTCCGAAAATTCTCATAACAAAGTACATTTTGAATCTGGCACCCTTATTTCGCGGATCTGCCGCCAGGAAATAGCTATTAGCAGCCCTTCGGATTCGAAAATCGGTTAACGTTTCAGTGAACTATTTTAAATTTAAAAGTCCTCTTAATTTCTTGTATGCAACTGAATCGCAGTGAACTAAGAGACCAAGACGGAAAAATAATGATGCTAGTATTAATAAGCTTTAATCCATGCCTCTGCTTGAAAAGATACAATTATCACAAGCATTAAATAACAGAAAATTTTGCAGTTAGTTTTCAAAAGTGTCAAGAATACAGAATTAGATTGAAGTGAATAAAGTGGCGTAAACTCTGTCGTAATGGAGGCGTAAGCATTTCTTAAGAGTGTTTATTACTGTTTCTGAAGAATGTTATTATAATTTCTGCAGTAAACTAATGCTAAACTAAACTAATATAACATGAGATGGTAGTACAGAACTGCCCGACCGTTTTGTTTTTATGTTTTACATTAATGTATTGAGCATGAAACAACAATAATCTTTCATAAACTTATTAGTGAATGTATTCTTTCATGTTTTAAACTTCAGTTCATTTTTGCTCCCATAGTAATGTGTATGAGTTAAGAAATTCCGACGTTAGAGATGCATTTACTGACACACAAGATTTCTCTTTCGGCTAGATTTCCATTAAAGTCACAGCTGGTGGATATAAATGGTACCACTTGTATTGTAGAGCAACAAAGTATTAATTGTTGTCAAATTAATACTTTGTTGCTCTTTACGTTTTTATTTGGTTGACATTTTATGCTTTTATAATTTCTAAATATTATATTTGATTGTAAATTAGAGTATTGTTATTAGAGATATTTTCCTAGGATTATAATAGAATTTTAGTCGTTTAGTTTAAGGTAAATTAAATTAAAATAGATACAGCAACTACCACTTCTATTAACACACAGTGTATAAGAACGTTTTTAGTATGTGGGTTCTCTCCTGTGTAAATCAAACTTAAATTCCTGCTTAGACCGACAAGAAATTTATCGCTCCATCTGTGAAAGTATCATAAAAACCCTAGGAAAGTTTCAAACAACTATTTTGTTTAAATCTTGAACTTAATAAAATGCACAACTTGTGCGTACAAATTAAATTCTACCATTTGTGGTAATGAGTAGCAGAAAAACTGAATCTATAAATTTAAATGGATTCAGAGAGAGTCTATAATATAATTGGCTTAACTAAGAGGTGGCAAATTTAATTGCGCGATCTAACTTCGGGGCTAGCAAAATGGCTAATGCCGGAATATTAACTTAATCGGACTTGGAAGAGGTAAAATTGGCGAGTGTAGCGGCCAAAAGCTCTGTATCTAAAATTTTCTAGAGCTCCGTCTTAAACACGCTTATTCATTTGCACCCTGGTGAAGGCTAACGAAAATAAGAAGTGAAAGTATAGATCCAAATCATAATAAAATGGGTTAATTAACATAAGCCGTACAAGTATATGAAATTAATATACTGAATCTGTGTAATTTTTTCCTTTCAGATCACAGGAATGTGAACAACACACAAATTCCGATTTCACATAGTACTGACAACTATGATGTAACTGTACTATCACCATCAGGAACTGATAGCACTTCTTCGCAGCCTTCAGAAATAGATCATTCTGAGTTGGTAACGCACAACTTTGAACAGAAAACTTCCACTTATAGCGATGAAATCAACACAGCTACTGAAGCAGACATTGAAAAGCAAAAAATTACTGTCGAACTGTCGGATGATTCTAATCTCGAGAGTATATCTGTAATTCCAGAAGAAAACATAGCAGTCCTTGTGCTTACAACAGAAAATGAGGATCAAGAGAGAGCTGAACCAACCGCATCATCACAAAACACCGAAGAAACAGACTCATATGAGGATATGAGTACCAGATCTACCACTGCTTTACTATCGAGTGCAAAGAATAAAAATAAAACAATTCCTCCAAAGTCTTCAGGCACTAAAATTAAAAATAAAGACACTGTTTCTACGTATTTCACTAGCCAAAATACAAAACCAACGACATCTGGAACAACCAATAATGAGCAGATAACTGACAGGGTGGATTACGGTGATGAAGAAAAGGATACTTATGCTTATGATTATGTAGAGCTGTACGAAGATGTAACTCCAAATGTACAAGAGACTTTTGCTCCGTTTGCTGATTATAGTGAAATACCATACGGTGAAAGACTTACTACAACAACAAAAGGTATAGATAGTACTACAACAGCTCATTCTAGATTAAAAACAAAAAAGAAAACGCAAACATTTCCATCTCAACATCCAACGACACAAACTCTAAAGACGAGTACCACAAAACAAGGCATTATAAATGATGGAATAACTGAAACTGAGCTATTCGCTAATCCAGATTATACATCGACCTTCACTGGAACTGAGACTGATCGATATACCTCTTTTAATCCAACTAAGTACACAATTTTCAGCACGGTTTCAGATAGAACTCGAAAACCACCAGCAGCAGAATTTACAATGCCCTCATTTAAAACAAAACAGAAAGTTACCCAAATATACAGACCATATAGACCAGATTCAGCAGGAATTCGTAAAGACGATGTGGCTCCAACCACACATTTCCGAGATGAGACAAGCCGATACATCACATCATCAGGAACAATAAAATATGAAACAGATCCTTATGACGCAACCACAATAAAGAAAGACTACCCCATTTATGTAGATGAAACAAATACTCAGACATTCAAACCATATTCACAAACCACGCAACCAAGTTCTAAAGCAACTATATATCAAAAACAAAAACTACAAAGTTCAACGCAAGCAATTTCGGGGTATAAAACAAAAAAACCCTTGCCTCAAGATATCACAGACTTACTGTGGTCTATTACTCAATTGTACAATACTCAAACATCAGATTCTTCAACAGAAACATGGTTACCAACAACGAAAACTGTTACTCACATGGAAAAAGTTTCAGGAAACACAGGATTGTCTCAGGGAACTTTGCCGCCAATAGCCCTTGCAGCACCAAAATTAATAGTAGAAGAATCAACAGTTGATACCAGTATCGGGTCTCAAGAAACAGATACTACTCAAATCCCAACAACCCAAGCCAAAGAAAATCTACCTTCTCCTAGTTTCAACTTTCAGTCTCCGGAAATAATATTCTCCAATCATGGGCCATCGTTTAATCGGAGAAAAACTCCGAATACCGAACTACCAGTCGTTATAAACAACCACAAAAAGACATCAACTCGATTTAGACCTCCTGTTCGTCCTAGACCTCCATCAACACCTTCTGCACCTCAAACTACATTTGTTGAAATCTCAAATCATCGTCCAACGAATTCTTTCAGGAGACCTCCTGGAAAGTTTCCTCCTTATCCCAGTTATGGATTTAGGCATGAACCCGATTCTCGCAGAAAACCTAGCCCTAGAGATCCTCACCACAAATTCCACAGATTAGCTCCTGAAAGTTATCCTGAACTGTCTGAAGATTACGAAGATTATTACTATGAAAGTGAACAAAATGGAGAACCAACAACTAAAGTGTTTTCCAACATCCAAGATATAAAATCTACATCCATTGATAATTTTCAAATACATCATTCTGGAAATGACGATACCACAAAATCTGAAATATATACAAACAGCTATAACTTTGTGAACAATATGACAGATTCTACACCTGAAACCTTTGAAACTTTATCTGAAATCAGCTCAGTTTCAAATACTTATCAAGAAAAAACAACAACAGAAGTAAGCATTGAAAACCTCAATTCTGTTAAAGCTGAAAATTCAGATGATGTTATCGGTCGGTCGTCTGAAGTTAAGTATGCTTTGAAAGCAGACGCTTCAGAGGAAACAGTAACTCCACACATTACCACGACAAAAATACCAACTACTTTTCAGGCTTCTACAACAAACTCTGTTTCCGTTTATACAACTGGGAAGCAAACTGAATCAAATGGTTTTAGCGAGGAAGAGAGTCTCTCTAGAACCGAATATGAAAATAAAAATGTAGTCTCTAAGTTTGCTGAAAACCGCTTTACAAATTTCGATGGAATTCCAACACATTTCGAAGAGACAAATAAAAGAACTGGCTCTCCAGATACTGAATCCAGTCGTCCTACAGCTCCTACTCGACCAACATCACCCCCACTTCCCATCAAGTCAGTCCACTCAGAGGAAGACTCCCAAGAAATTTCAGGTAAAACTCAAGTTTACAAATATTGTATGCCTTTTATAAATATATCATATTTTATGGAATACTAATAGGTTTAGTTATTTATTATAGTAAAACAAAACTGAAATGGTTGTCTTGCCATTTTAAAAGGTTTCTACCATAAAACACTCAACAACTTGAGATTTATTTAACGTTTCAGAAATTTAAAATTGTTCAAAGAAAGTATAAAATACTTTGTTTCTGGTTTTGAGTAGTTTTATGGAATACTAATAGAAATGAATTTCGACTAAAGCGGTAATAAAGCTTTTAAGCATTCATTTAAACAGATGCATGGAAATTAATCCCGGCTAGATATGATTCAGTAAAAGGCAATAAGCTGGATAATAGTTTCTATTCGATACGATAGTATGGTACATAAAACTTACTCTTAAATTACAGCATTGTCTAGCTTTAAGGTAATCAACACATCTATTTGGCTAACTACTAGATAGATTCTTACTGTTTAGATGCAAGAGTTTAGGATTAACCGAATTTTAACTAAACTTCAAAAGAACAGAGATAAAATATTAAAACAGAACTGGAAACTTTACTGGTGATCAAAATCTATAGTGCCAAATATTAGAATCTAAAATCCAAAGCAAGTACTCACAACACCACCTGCAGTAATTTACAAAGCTGAACATTCCAATGCTCTCCAATTAAGCTTTAGATCTTGCGTTTGTATCAAATACGAGCAAAGCTAAGAAAACTGCAAAGGTGCTCCAAATTCAAAAACTTGTAATATTAAATTGTAATATTGAAAACTCGCTTTCAATTTCAAGAAAGTTTGCTTTCTTCGAGCCTATTTTTTAATATTTATTTTTAAGAAACTAGATACCTTATGCGCATTGTTTATCTCAATGTATTATTTCAATTCTTCTTAAAATCACTGAAAGTTAAGTATTTTTTATTACTATGCTTAGAAAACATAACTTTTAATATACTAGTCGCTTGTGAAGCCAGTCTCTAAAATATGTATTCTAAAACAAAGAAAAATATTTATAATGATTTTAAGAACTCCATCTAATGTAATTTTATAAAAGTATATCTAATAACTGATTAATTAACCTAAAGTATTCATTTTGTGATTACACTAATTTTATCAATCTTTCCTCTCAAAAGATTTCTTGATTTCACATGCAACTGGAATTAAACAGTTGTATTACATACTACAGCTTATTATATGATTTCTTTTAATATATTTTAATAATGCTGTGAAAAGGACTGTAATTTAGGAAACGATTTCATTTGTCAATGCATAAAAATAATTTATTATTTAACAATTAAATGCAGAGAATGAAAGCATATCAGCTTATTTCTTTAATACAGATCTTTTGAACTGTATTTATTTTATATTTTGTATGTTGTTTTACTTTTCATGATATACTACTGGGAGTATTGATATTAACTCAAATATCGAATATTTCGGTTTTTTTCTTTTTCCCTTTTTTATTGAAGAACTTGATGCTCGGGGACACAAAAGTATCATTATGTATATTATTTCTAAAGCAAAACACCTATAGTTTTTGCAACGAAATTTGTCGAATCTTTGTCAAAAAACGTCGAAAAGATCAAGAAATGAGCAATGAGCCTAATGATAATATTATGAGAAATAGGACTTTATAAGCATAATGAATACTGATAATTTCCTTACGAGTTATTAGCATATTTTCAGCTAAGCAAAGCAATTGCATATAAAATCTTCTAATACAAATATAACACCTCGAAAGAGGATTTGTCTTTCGAGAAAAGTGTTAAATGCTATAAAATTGAATTGTGTCTATATCAATTATGTACCATACAGCATTAAAAAGTCTTTAATAAATTACAAAAAATATCCACAAAATTATTAATCAGATATATCACGAATTAAATGCATTTTATTGAAATAAATCAGATCAAACAGATTAAAAAATGCTATTGATATCTGTGTTTATTGCTTTTGAGTCGTTTCTTAATGAATAACAGACAGATCAAATTTGAACGTTCAAATATTTTACGCTTTACCTAATGTCGATATACTAACGGGTGGAGGACAAAAATACATTTTTTAAGTAGTAGCAACACGTTCGTCTTAAGTAACTGAACTTGTTAATCAAATATTCCTCAAATTCTCGCAAAATATGAAATGAATAAAAAACAAATTCGAAATAAAAAATTCGGTCTTAGAGGTGCACATGTTCGGGTGGAGGTTCAATATTTCGGGACTTTAGGTGCTACTAATTTCTCCACAATGCAATTAACAAGCATGCATATAGATACTTCAGTATTTAATAATAGAGATTGACAAAGCTAATATTGATACCTAAAAATGCATTTAAAAATAAAACAGAGTTTATCTTTTTCCAATTGCAACTTTTGAAATATAAATAGAGGTTTAATTATTCTAGAGATCTGTATTTAATTGTTTCAAATTTTTTTTCAGATGTCTGTTTCGTAGATGGTCGCTATTACACTAGCGGTGAGATAATAGTAAAGAGTAATCCATGTGAAATGTGTCGCTGCTTCTATGGACACCCATTGTGCCAAGTTCAACAATGTCCCTCACCTCCTGATCCATCCTGTATGCTAGAATACTTACCAGGCTATTGTTGTCCAAGAGTTACTTGTGGTAATATTTTAGCGTATGCTATTGATTTGAACCAGGTTGAAATAATTAGCTCATTATGCTATACAAAGTAATTATGTGTCATTTATTGCCTTCTAACCTTAAACCTTTGACAGTTGTTTTCCTTCCTGACGAAAGTAAGTGGCGCAAAAAAAAACTTAAAGTATAAAATTAAACACATGCTCTTAAATTTTTCTAAATATTTTATTTTACTATTTTATACCAAAACTATAACCTCAGAAAAGATTTAAATCTTATTATCCACAGTATTATTTCCCAGTGTAAGCAAATGGTAAACTTCAGCTCCGAATAAAGCATAACAGAAAAAAACTGCGATAAAAATATATGTCACACACATACAAAATTACATTTTCTAAGTTATCAAATAGGAGCAACTAAACAACAATGCTTTTTTCATCATATTCTCATTTTACATACAATGTTAACAATGTGGCCGTTCTTCTCACAGAGAGAGGAAAGCGAATTTAAAGTCCCAGTTAATCGGTATCCACTTTTATCAGTAAGACAGTATCCACTTTTAACACAAAATCACGATTAATCTGAAGGCAGTTAAAAATATGGAGAAGACAAATAACACGTGCTATAATTAACATGTAAAAATACAATTAACAATTTATAGCTATTTTTACTCCGTTTCATACAGAGAATACTGGTTACGTAAATTAAATCAATATTAAAAACAAAAAGAACATATTGTACCATATAAAATAAAAATCGCGATGAATTAATTGAAAATTTTACTACAACATGAACGTACATGAGCTATTTTTATAAATAAAAAAAAATCGGAGCTTTAAATTTGAAGCTGTAAAGTACAAGCGTTTAGATGTAATAAATACCTTAACAAACATTACTGACTTCGAGAATAAAACAATAGAAGTTATTAAATCTTAAAGAGTGCATCTTAATTATACATCAAAACAGAGATATTTGCTTATATTCTTGTTGCTAAGTCCTATTAAACTATTTGGATTATTGAAAGGTTTGCAATTCTGAGATTCATTTTTAAGGCATAAAGATGAATCAGCATACTAATTATCATTTGAATTTTTTTTATTCACAGGAATAAAATCAGACTCCGAGGAAATACCACGCGGAATGGATGTTCCTGAGCCAACAAGTCAAGAAATTCAAACTCCTATTATCACAATGGACAATCAGTGGAAACCTTTACCTCATGGTCCTATTGTAAGACCAAGTGATAAGGTTCATAAAATAGAGCAACCAACATCGGAAAATGAAAAGATAGAAGAGAATTCAAACAACCAGGATTTTAGTTCGGAAAAGAATGAAGAAAGTGTAAAACTACCTGAAGATAATACAGTTGTAAAAGCTGCTGAGAGTAATAGTGCTCCTGTGTCGTCTGAAGAACAAAGTAAAAAATTACTTTCATTTTATTTGTTTTTTTAGTAATTCATTTATTTAAAGATATGTCTTAAATATTGTAACTTTTCTGAACTATAATAATGTTTATTCCCTTCTGAAATTCTTCGCATATTTTGCACATGCTAAATACTCGCATAATTTTTCTGAAAATTTTAGGAACTAGCCTCTTCATGGCTTAGCCATCAGTGCCAAATAGAATGCTGGCCACGCAAACTGCTTTTGAAAACAAAATTCTAAACGTACTCTAATTAATATTTTTTATCATTCTTGCTTTAAAAGAGGAAAAGAATTTGTTTTATAACCCGAGAAAGTTTCAAAAATTCATATCAGATAACTTTCTGGATTTTGAAATTTGAAAGTCTTAAAAGAGATTATAATATTACTTCAGACAATAAAATTAAAAAAATTAACTTCTAAAATGAAATGCTGAAAAAATGCATGTAAATAATTTATAAGATTGAAAAAAATTATAATTGATAGCCAGTAAATTCGAAACGTCTTTCTCTCTCTTTGCCTTTTTTTACCCATAGGTCGTCAGCCCAGAAGAATTATTAATTTCGTTTTGACATTTTCCGTTGGTTCACTATAAATGTCGATGCATTTTTTTCAAATTGTTGCCACCATTAGATCCTATAAGAGCCCTGTGTTATATTTAAAGAAATCAAATAATGACGAATTTGCATAAATGTATGTATGTTTCTCGCATTGTGATAAAAAAACAACGGTACTTAGAGCCATCAAATTTTGAATAACGTACATCTAGACTCGAATATGGGCATTTGGAATTTGAAATTTGTCTTATTATCGATTTCATATTTTGTAGCATTTTAACGAATTTTTTATTAAAAAACTCAACGATTTCAAGGCGAGCAACAGCAACACTGTACGGGAAAAAAAAAAAACTTTTTATCTGCAACGAGCGAGACTGCATCGGAAATTCTAAAGATATGCTCATTTTAAAACTTTTTCGCGATATAGCTGTTGAGTTGAATTTTATGGTTTAAGTGCGAAGAACATGATATATAATAAATAAAGGTAACCTACAAAACATTAAAAAAACTCCCCTTTGGGCGTACGCAAAAATACGAAAAATAATAGTGCATGAATACTGACATCATATCTTCGAAGTCATGCTCAGAAGAGGAAACATATGATGTCCAAGGAAGAATAGAAACTTTTCCTTCTACTTAAATTATATTTCAGAATATTTTAAGTTTTCTAGAAAAACTGACTAATTAATCTTTTTAACGATCTTGTTTTAAAAGAGGACTAGGAGTTTGCTATATGACAGAGGTGGACAAGCGAGGCCCTCGCGAGCTAGTGGTACGGCTCTTATACAAATAAAATATATGTATGAAATTTGGTAAACTAAAATTACGTAATGTTCAAAAGAATGTAATTAATTTATCTAATTTCTTTGCATAAAAGTATCAGATGTTTCCGGAATATCTTTTTGCGCTCTCGAACTTTCCCTGAATTTCACCATGCGGGTTTTACTCACATTACATCTGATCATCTCTGCTATGTAATCTGTAAAAATTTCAAAACCTTTATAGCTGATGCGTTTTGGGATGATGGAAGTTTTAAAAAATAGACATAAAATAGTTGAAAATATCGAGGATTTTTGAAAATTCGCCGAAATCGGTAATTTACATTAAAATTTCAATATAAACTTCATTTAAAAAGATTTTTATTCATTATACCCGATGGTTTAAACAGTGAAATTCTAAGAATTTCGGTTTACTCGTTTAGCAAAATTATCAACAAAAAGTTATTTCAACGTTAAACGAAAGAAATCGAAATAGCTTTTTGAAATGTTTGGAATTCGAGGTGCATTCCTTCATCATCTGAACAATATACATTCCAAATATCAAAGCTCTTGATAACCAAATATCGGGGCCGCATGACGCGGACTTTATAGTCTCTGCGCTATGCGTCGAACTTGCATACTCATAGATTCTTCATTTTAAAACAATAAACACTGCATCTAAACTTCATTTTTACTTGACATTGAGATTGCTAATTATCTGATCTTCCTTTCAATAAATAAATATCCTGATAGCTAAAACGTACAGCTTTTACAGCATTCATTATGAAGTCAACCCTCTATTAACCGGGAACGACATCCATGGTTAACCCAGATCACTACTATGTTAGGATGGTTAAAATCATAGCAAACAGGAATAGTCCATAGTTAACAGAAAAATACTTTTAATAAATTTACCTGTATTTTCAAGCAATTTAACCATATGAAGCAAGAAAATAAAATTAATAATTTATATCGCTATTTTTATAAATTTGCTATACGAAGCAAGCAAGTTAATTTAAAAAATTCAAAATAATTTCATTTAGTTATGTAAATTAAACCGATATTCAAAACAAAAATAATACTTTTCAAATCAAAAAAGAACAATGTTTTTAGTTTGCCTAACTCTCGTATTTTGATAAGAGCTAGTGTGAAACAGATTTTAATGACTGTATACTTGATTTCTTTCACAAATAAGAAATTTATTTTTAATAACAGATATAACGATATTTATATATTCAGGATTACGTGTAATTTTTAATTATGTTCTCTTTTTGATAAAGACAGTTTCCAAATACTGTAACATCATCTGCTATCAATATTGGGAATGCAACCATTTTTCTTTTTCTTTACATAATTACCTGCAGAGGTTTGTTTTTACGCTAATAGTTTGTGATAGTATTTTTTTCATAATAAAAAATAATTATAATAAAATATATATATTCCATAATAATAAATTTAACCTTTTTTTAAGGTGGGGCCTGTTTAGTCCGCAATCTGATTACCCGCCCCTTATCAATCGACAGTTGATTTTATATCGTTAAAGCTTCTCCGCAGCAAAAGATCTTAGAAAAATTCAGTTTCTAAAGGTTTCGGTTTAATTAATTTCATGAAAGAAATATATTTCTTTCGTTTATATGGCACAAAAATAATTGATGGTTAAAGGTTCTTTTCATAACACGAGTATTCTAATATAAAAATTATTTTTGTGTTAGCCCTTTTTATCCAGAAACATTTCGAAAAACATTATTTTTAACTTAATCCGCATCGGTCATTTCTTCTACTCATCAAGAAGCTGCCTACCATGAGCAAATGAACGATTAGAGCCCTAATCAATGTTGATTTCTTTTACGTTGAACTTCAGTGAAATAGACAGAATTCGTATAAAGTTACATAATTTCCTCAAGTTTAATGTAAAGTATCAATTAAATTTGTTCAGAATATCCTCCATAAAATTATCCTTCAAGAGACAGATAACTTCCAGCACACAATCAGCTTCTCGGCTATTTATTTAAACAGCTATTTCTGTATTTCTCTCCTTAATATTCTCAGCTTCTCTATGATCTTGAGCAAACCATTTGTTTAATTTTATTTATTCTTAAATTTCTGTGTCTACGTGCTCTAATAATAAATCTATCCACACTTTGTCGCATAACAGTAGATCTCTTTCCCCCTTCATTGAAAATGATGTTTTAAAAACCGTTAATACGTATATTATAATGTCAGAAAAACACTTTCATTAGCTCAGTAAATAAACTAAAATGTTTTTTCTCGTTCAGCAGCTCATGTGGAACTTACTACCACCTCTTCGGCAATAATCACCACCATCATCTCCGATGCAGCAACTGCGAGTCCTTCACCCATCTTAGCAACAACAGAAGACAGTGGGACTACTTCTGCACCTACCACAACCACAACAATGACAACAAACAAGTCTTTAGAGCCTATCTTCAACCACACTGCGAGCGAAAAAGAAAACATTTCAAAGAACAAATCAGGAATCCATGATAATTCCAGTGGAGTCAGAAAGATTTTGGACGAAGTAGTTACTCTGCCTCCATCAAAGGTGGCCTTGTCTCCTTCGGGAGATGCAAATATAAGCACAGTATTACCCATCATTCCAACAGTGCAATCAACAACAGGCTCCACGATTTCCCCTGATGATGAATTGGAGACAATGCCTAATATCGTTCTGGGAGACTTGCCTGCTGAACTAGGAGGCAATCTTAAGGTCTCAGGTATGTGGTACGAAGTTACAGTATAATATAGAGTAAAACTCGTTAAACACGGTTTCCCACCAAGTTTATTTCACAAACTTCCAAATGTTTTCCTATTACGATAATGTTAAATTTTTTCGCATAATACGTACCACGTTGAAAGATTTTAACATTGAAGAAGCTTTAGAAACAATTTCCCCTGTTTTTAAAGTATTTTCTAAAGAAATTCTTAATGAATGCATATTTTAACTAGAAACGAAAACCATCAGTCTTGTTTTCAGAATGATAGCAAAGTTTATTTTGATAAATATATCTTTCTTACGTTAAAATATGTCCTATACCCTTACAGTTTCATTTGTATTGAACAGAATATGCAAAAAAGAGACGTTTCAAATGGCATTGACCCTTAAGTCTAAAAATTAGACTTAAGGTAGAAATAACCTTAAATTAATCCTTCTGGTTATTCCCATCATGTGCAGTTATTCTCTAAAATGGTGAATTTACCTTTTGCTGTTGTATTTTAAATAATATTTTTTTATTTACTGAACTAGATGCAGAGAGAAATTAATAATTGTACTTAATTCGTGTTTACGTGTTGTCTATTCCTGTTAGGAACTGAAATAAATTTGTGTTAAGTTTAATTTTACTTCAAACTAAAGTCAGCAGTAAATTTTAGTTATTTTATTTGACTGTTGTGTTTAATCAGCATTTTGAGAGACTTTTAGAAACTTAAAAAAAAATTCCTTTGCTGGGTTTCCAAGTTTAGAGTAGCATAGTATCAGCAGAATTGAGTTTAACCTTATATAGTGACGCTTTGCTCTATTGTTATCGGAGCCTTTCTGCTGAGCATACCATTTGCTGTTCCCAAAATGGCTATCGAATTAACAATTTAAATTGATGAGAAAAACCACTAAATTTCAATCCATTTTCTGTCCCCTTTCATTTACAATATTTTTAACATGGAAAACAGTAACGCTTAGAATGTGGAAAAGAAGATCACTGTCCTACTGTTCCTTCATTTCTGAAACATTAAATGAAACTGGTTACAAAAGAAATTAATGAAGATTTTAAAAATATTAAACAAAAACTTTAGTTAGTGAAAGATTTCAAGAAAAACATGTTAAAAATAATAAAAAACTAAAACCTGTGTGTTGCATATATAAATAAAATTATCTAATTCTGAGATAATTCAGTTGAAATTAAATCTAAAAAAACTGAGTTTTAAAATAGCAATTTAATATAAATTATTTAAACTAATTTTTAAAATAAAAAATAAATGGATGTGGTTTCAAAACTATCAGTAAAAGTTATAAATGTGGCACAGTGTTGTTAGTAAGGCATTTTGTGAATAACCATGGTTTGTAGAAAGATGTTCCGGGTTAAAAAACATTTTTATTTATATTCCTTGGAAAATTTAATAGGATACCTTTGTATGTCCTTAGAGCAGTAATGAAAAGATCGTCAGTTTACTGAATTCTCCCCTTTTTTCCAAAAGATATTTTCCCAAACGATATTTTCCAAACAATAGTCCCCTTGGTTGTAAATCGAATTAAATTTTGAAAAGCATCTTAAAGCAAAATTAAGTTAATTTCTAATATTAATAAATTATTCTAGTCTAGTATTGTTCAGGGCTTGTTCAGGGCAATATCACAAAAGCGTTGTTGCACTTATTCCCTTCATTCTATGGAGAAAAATTCATCTAATCATTTTCTATGATCAATAAAATATAATCATCTTCTATTTCTCTGCACTAAAATAAATAAATACAATATATTCGTGTTAAAAGAAAAAAAATTCTAAAAAAACACTCAAAATATTTCCTTACCGCAAATACCGTCTTTCAAAAATGCTGTGACTATTATAGTGTCATAAAAATACACTCAGAAAATGTCTGTACATCAATAGCCCTTTCAGTTCTTTATAACATCATCAGCAAGCCAGCTAAAAACATTCTCAGAACATCTTTAGCCTTGTTAAGATTTTTAGTCATTACTATGGCTATCGTCAAATAATGATGTTCATAGAATAGAACGCTATAAACTTGATTGAAAGGTATAATAAGTCATTTTCTGTATGTTTTTTTTTTTTTTTTTTTTTTTTTTCCTTTTAATTTTGTTTAAACATTTAGTTTTGAATTTATGAACTTTTAGTACAGAATGTGTTTGCCAAAGAGAGCAAGTCGTTACGAAAGTTGCATATAGTGACAAAGGAAAGGAAAACAAAACTAAGATTATAGTCTAACACGTCATAGAAGTAAAGGAAATATTTCAGAGCATGAAAATCATAGGATTAAAGAAAAAAATTACAGTCTGATCACGGTATGTAGATTTAAATAATTTTAAACTGAGAAATTACGCTAGTCTAAGAAATTAAAGCATTATCGAACATAAAATATTATATTTAAAATGAGCTATAAAGTGACAAAGCTAAATGATAGGGGGGGGGGACTTGTTAACTCCATGTGGAAACTTATTTGATAAATACAAGATTTAATTATTTAATACGTATGCATGTATTTTTTTTCGTGTGTGTGTGTGTGTGTGTACTTAATAACTTGTGCTGAAGGCTTGCGACAGATATTATTTCTCTGAATTGATAAAACTTTCTATTTTACCAGGACACGAAGCCCCCAAGAAGTAAATAATTGAACAAATAGTCCTGGAAGAGATTTCCTTTGAAGTGTGTTTTTAATAATTGCTTACAAACTGCTTTGATTAATGAATGAATCAAACATTTGATATAATTATCCAGTCCTATGTTCATAAATATTTAATTCTCTGTATGAATGAAAATGTTAGATAAATAATAAAGCAAGTCTCTTAAATCGAATAACGAATATAAATTCAAATTTTGAATTTTGGTTCATAAATACGTATAATCTACTTAGGTGCCTTACAATTTCAACGTAATCATGTTATTTATTAAATAAGTTCACGTACTTCTTACGTACACTAGCTTTTAAACTCTACAACTAATTTCGGAATGTACTGGGCAATACTTGCCTGACATTCGAATAATATTTGCAGTAGTTGCATTTAAAGAAATAAAATTTCGACCACTATAGAATGAGCAAAACGATATTTAGCTATGTTTAACTAAACAAAAGCTTAATAAAAAAAACGCAATGCGTCAAAGTATTGGCTTACATTTGAGAAATTCTAAGGTCATTGCTTCAAGGTACCTTTTATTATTGATAATTGTATCTTTACCAAAAAAATTCAAAATGTAAGTAGTAAAAGTTATTATTATTTTTTTATTTTTACTGTATTTCATAAACTTCTCCATTTACTTTTTTTTCCACTTGATCGAATATTCATGTTGTACTATTTTAAAAATGTTGCCTTTTGTTATTTCTAGTCTGCCTTTACATGTATTAAATATTTAAAATATAAAGCTACAAATGCAGTTACGTAACCACAGAATTTTTCTTTCTTTGTACAGGTTGCAATGTCTACGGAAAATATTACAAAATAAATGACAAGGTAACAGTTTTAAGTAAAAAGTGCAGTGATTGCATCTGTTCGGCGGACGGAATTGCCTGTAACGCCACCTGTTGATAAGAAACACGACTATTTGAAATGAGACATATGGCATTTGGATCAAAGAATCTCTAAGGATCTCTTAGAGATTCTTTGTTTGGATACTGCTTCTTCTTGTTCTCAGAGCGTGCTTCACGCGCTGAACAAAACTGTGATTCTGAAATTAAAATGTCCGTTAGCGAGGCTGGATGATTGGGTAATTTATTAACTGCCGTTTAAATTGTATTATATCTGTAGAAATAATGAATGGTTGGACACCTTGGTTTTAACTATCGAAGAGACAATTGTTGAACGGCTTATTTCTGTTCCCTACCCTTTTAGCAGTTTACAAATAAAGATGTGTGAAATACTTTGTTTTACAAGATACTATTTTACATTTTATATTTATTCATGCCTTCCTTCATTGTGTTCAATAGTTCAAATTTTTGCAGCTGTTTCATTATGCAATAGCAGATGCGTTATTGTTTATAGTTCTTTCTTTACTTGAAAAAATACTATGGCATCTAAATCTTGCTTTAGAAGAATTGGAGAAATGTAATACCTTCATTTCAAGTTTATCTGTCAGAAGTCTATTATATATATTTATATGACTCTTACATGCTGTGCTATTTTTATCTTTTATTAAAAAGAAAAGGCAGGAAAGCAAAACGCTTCTGAAATTTTATATTTTAAAATAAAGACTCATTTTATCTTAATTGATTAGAATGTTTTAAGTGCTTACTTCGGATTCCATATTCTGTTCCGTTATCCTGAAAGTTAAATTTTTAAGTAATTAAAAACCTTACAAATATATAAATTCATGAAAGTCCATGTTAACGAATGAAATTAGTAACATGGATTAAATATATTGAGCATTTGTTACCTAATGAAATTTATACAGCGTGAATTCGAGAATTATTTTAATTAATTTTTTTATTTATTATAAAATTAAATACGAATTTCAGATTGTAAGAAGTCACATTTTTATACATATATTTCGGTTTGTAAGAATATATTCTAATATGTTGACATAATATTACATTAGCATATCTCGCTTCTTATAAATCAGGATCTCATAAAATTTCAGATTTTTATTAACTAATATACTTATCATAAAAGTTATCACTATAGTTGTTCAGTATTTTCTTACGATGTGTAAAAGAAATATTAGCTACATCCTGTCTACAACGGATTTGCCATTGCTTGCGCTTGCTGTTTCCAGTAAATCAAGTGTTCTACATGCTTTATCTACTTTTATGATGTTCTAATAAATTTTGTTAATACATTTCTGATTCTATTAATACATTTAGTAAAAGAAAGACAATCACAAGATTCGAGTTCTTCAATTTAAAAAAAAAATCGAAAAAAAAAAAAAATATGTAGAGACAGTAGGTTTAACTAAAACTGAAACATAACATGAGGTATTTTTGTACACTTATCCATAATAGGAATAAAAACACGAATTCAAATGCTTAAAAAGAATAATTATTTTTTTCAATACAAAAGAAAACTATTTATGTTCATAATTATAATCCTTATTCAAATGTGACAATCACCTAAATTTGATTACAATAGTTTTCTTCCAGATTTCTCATTTATCAACCTTCTCATTTATCAACTGCTCATATATTGTGCATATTTAGTCTGTTACAGACATCTTTGCCTTAAAATTAATTTATTATTTTGTATTTTATGCATTGGTAAATTCGTTAAGAAATAAAAATTTATGACATTGTTCATGCTTCAAATTTGCATTTGTTTAGAACTCTTAGTTTTGCTTTTAGAATGCGTACTGGTTATAAACACAGTATGTATAGTTTATTTTAGAAAAGTTCTAATTTCTGTAACTTATTAACACTTTTATTTTTTATGAATATTTATTATCACACATAGAGACATATCAACTTCTGTTAACTATCTGTGGTTTACTCTAATAATCCCTTCATGTAAAATTAAATTTCATTAATTGATAATGGAAAGAAAGTCATTAAATTAGGAAAAGTTTAGTAAGTAAATTCATATAACCTCTTTCGACATTAATTAAACAAAATATGTTTTTAAATGTATATAGTCCTATTTGTTTTTCATTATCATTGTATGTATTCAAATAAAATCTTTTCATCTTACAAGTCTGAATGATTTATTTCGTATAATAATGAGTAGTTAAAGAAATAGAATACAACATGATGTTAAAAAGAGACTGAGTTTATACTAATTTTTAACCTTTTGAACTTATGTTAGCGGTTTAATCTTTAATTTTTACTATGACCTCCAATAAAAATAATGTACAATGTACCACTGTAATCATCCTCATTATTGGTGGTTCACAATAAACTTAAATTCACAGTTTTTATCTCCTAGATCGTAATAAGTGTAATTTATCTTCCATTATTATGATTATAAGATTATTCCATCATAATTTTGAATTGAAACTGCTCTCTGTCGTTGAATGTCTTAACTCTACGTACAGTCACATCAGCTTTGATTTAAGAGTTATAGGGATTTGCAGTATTGTCACGCCAACCATACGATTCCAAAAATCAAAAAATTGGAAAAAAAATTCCAAATTAGATTTTTTGGTTATTGAATTTCATAATTATTTATTTTCAAATATTATTTATCTGTTTTAAAGAAATGTTTTTTCAGGACTAGCAACTATGCATTGGCAAATACAACTTAGTGTACTAACGAAGCCGATGTTACGATGATTTGTGTAAAATTATAACTTTGTTTTTAACATAATATCTCTGAATACAATACTATAATTTTTACTATGATCTCCAGTAAAAATAATGTATTACTGTAATCATCCTCATTATTGGTGCTTCTTAACCCTATAACTGAATTAACTGGAAGCACAACCCATTCGAATATTCAAAAAATGCGGAAGAACTGGGTTAGATTTTATTTGTAAATCCCATCATTATTTATTGTAAATATTATACAGCTTCCTCTAACTGAATTAACTAGAATTACAACCCATTCGAATATTCAAAAAATGCGAAAGAATTGGGTTATATTTTCTTTGTAAATCCCATTATTATTTATTGTAATGCAAATAACAAAATTTTACTTTTTTATCTTTTATTTTCTAGTTTATCATATTTTATATCTGCAAAGAATACGCAGCTTAAAAAATATTTATGCTTCCCAAAACCAAAACAAAAACATAAATTACTTGACAGTTTGAAAGAAATTAAATTATTTTATTTGCTTAAAAACGTAACTTTCTTCTGCTTCAACCAAAATAATATATTGAAATCAAATTTATTTACATAATCTTCAAAAACTAAGCAAATGAAAAACTAAGTAAGTAATCCTCTTCTGATTTTTATTTAACAGCAGTTTAAGAAGAAACTGTTCTTAATTTCCCCATTTATAAAATTCATAACCTGCCTCCATTTAAATTTTCAAATTAAACTAGGTCATACCTATTTTAGTGATATATAACAATAAAATTTAGCCATATAATAAACATTACAGCGATACATAGCTGTTATCCAGATACACAACTATTAAAATAGCTCTGGTCTGGAACTTCATTTGAACCCACATTAAAACCTGATGAGAGTGAAAAGTTCCTGACTTGAAATTCTGTAAGTAAAAAATCCATAAGGGGAAAAAAAAAGCGATTTGATGTCTATGAGAAAGCAACATTAGCACGTATGTCACCATGTTCCGTTAGAGAAAGAGCATTTTTATGACTACAAAACATATAATCCTATATATTGAAAAAAATAATTCTTTTCTGATTAATGTTTATAGGCTACATGTTTGCCGAAATTTGTAAACTTATTTACATATAGTATACAAAACTCTAAATTAATTTAACAGCTTCATCGAAATTTGTAAACTTATTTACACATCATATGCAATAATCCAAATTAATTTAACAGCTCCATAAAAAAATGTATGTTCTATTTAATTATCTTTTTCTATTAATTAAAAGAGTTTGGAACATGTAAATAAATCAACAATTTCAGTTTTATTTATTCTTAAAAAAAAAAAAAAAAAAAAAAAAAAAAAAAAAAGAACAAGCCTTTCAGATAACTGGAACTCTGGATGTTTAGAATTCTGATAACTGAAGTCCCCTTTCACTTTTTTAGTATCTATTTTTAGCGAAATCGTCTATGAATGTAGTTAGCCAAAATAGATGTAACTTAACATTTAAAATAATGGGGTAACCGAATTGATGTATTCATAACTGACTTATTATCGGCAGTTAAACAAACACCTCTTAGTCAGCAATTATTGCTAAGTGCATTAAATGCAACAGAAGAAGAAAAAATTGTAACAGAAGAATAAATAAATGAAATAATAATTCTCTTTTCTCCCTAAGCAAAATGTTACTTACGAAGAGAAAGAAAGAGAAGAGTCCTTGTCTTGCGCGAAAAGACAACCAGGAGCCAGCCAGGATTCGAACCTGGAATCTCCTGATCCGTAGTCAGGCGCGTTATCCGTTGCGCCACTGGCCCTCACAACAAGCTGCGTTTTATGCTTACTGGATAGAATTACTTGCATCATCGTTTTTTGGTGTAGGTGTATTTAATTATGGCAAAGCACACTAGGGCTATCTGCCTAAGGGGAGGGATGCCTTCGTGGAGGACTGTCTAAGGGAAACTGGCTCGTATACACGTTACACATGGGGAAAACCACATCGTTTTTTAGAATTTGTAATTATGTATAATATTTGAAATTTATAATCATGGAAAGACTTATCTTAGAGTTAGTTACTTTATCTTTTTTTAATTATCTAACTTTGCATGTATGTAAAGTTTATCTTATTTTAAAACATGGACAAACGAAAAATAAATAAAATAAAAATAAATAAACAAACAATATTCGCAGATATTTAGTTAGTTGTTAATATTTTACTTCAATAATGTTTCTAAACTAGTAAAAAGATTTAATTGTAAGTTTTAACTATAAAAATGAGAAATACTTCAGCTAATTAGTTATAAAACTCGTGGAGGCATAATCCAAATATCTGAATTACTCGAAAATAAATATTAATATTATTTTCATTAGCATATGAATAAGCCGTTCAATATGAAAATCAAAATTTAAACTTATATCGATGTATGCTTTGTTAAAAAATGTACGTTCTTTAAACGAAATAGGCACAACTATATATTTTTTATTTTTTGTTTCTTGAAGATGAGGGACTCCAGCGCCAAATTCTCTTGAAATGCACACATATTTTTTCATGACCGTCGGTGTAAGACTGAATTATCAAATTTTTTATTATCATTTTTATTAAATAATGTAAGTAAAACTTTTAAGTAATTCATATTTATTCTCGACTATGATATAAGTCGGATATGAAGTTCCTGATTTTAAACTTTTTAGTATCTCAGTAGTATACGTAATTATTTCACGAACAATGTTTTTACCTGTGTCTTAGTTATAGTAATGAAAAGTGACTTTATTTTTTTAGCATTATCTGTTACAGTTTTAGCGGTCCTTTCGCGTCGAATCAAATAATATTTAAAACAGTAAACTGCTTGAATAAATTTAATTATTTAATTTTTCATTACTTAATATCGATTATTAATCATAGGCTTACCCTAGCTTAATCAGGGCAAAGAGATGTAATTTAAAGAACTTAAACTAACTGTATTTGACTTAACCGGAAATTTCTTAAATGAAATTCAGGAATGCAAGTATATAGTTTTAACCATAAAACAAAAATTTAGTAATCAAACGATTAAGTAAAATATACTACGGCTATCCACCTGAGAGGGAAGAGGCCGTAGTAGAAGGTATTTTAAAAGAATCTGTTGCAAATTTATTTTAAACTTAAAGAAAACTAAGATAATTTCTTTTTGCCAGTCTATCCGTTGAAAGACGAAAGTGAGACGAATTTCAACGGATATAGCAACACCATAATATGTAATAATCTATTTAAACGTTGGGAAGTTTGAAGAGAAAGATTTTATTGAAATATTGTAGACAAAGCAACCAAAAGATCTACTTTATTGTCTCAGTCTGCCTTACGTTTCAATAAATAAATGGATGAACTTACATTGATTCATGTATTCCATATGAAACATTGGCATGGCATAATCAATATTAAGCACTGCATAAAGGAAAATCACTAATTGTTTCACATAACACAGAAATGTACGAATATTATATGGTATAATTTTGTAGTTATAATACAATTATTTTTTTAGTGAAATCTCGAATGGTTTGATTGTAGTAAAAGTAGAACATACTATTAACCAAAACTGGCAATCTTTGAGAAAGCATAGTTGTTTGTAAAAGAATGCAAAGGTGTCTTTGGCGGCAGTGTGGCACCAAAAGTCCATTTAAGCGAAAGTCCAGTTGAGTGGTTGAAAGTTGAAAAAAGAGGGATACGGGAGTCTTTTATTCTGTACCTCGAAATGGTCTTGGTCAAAACTGGATGGAAATGGGCAAATTTGGACTGTCAGCTAAAAGGTGTCCTTGACCTTAGCCAACGATAGGCTTCTTTCCCTCTTAGCCAACGTACCGGTGCAACTGATACGTCTGCAACGGACAGCAGAATTTAGAAGCCATAAAAGCTTGGAAAAAACGGCAAAATACGGATTCCAGGCCCGATTAAAAGTAAATTTCCAGGCCTCATTAAAATAAACTATCTGATAAAAAGAATGCAAAGGTGGTTTTTTTTTTATTATTATTATTATTTTTTATTTGGCATGCACTCCACAGTAACAAGACTGGCAGTCTTAATAACCAGCTGAGTAGTCTTAATAAGGAAAGTTACGAAATACATAGATACGGTATAAGAAGTAGGCATCGCCTCACTTCATCGAAACGAAGGTTCATGGTGGCGAAAGGTGGTGTATTGAAATGCGTACAAGAACAACAAGAACGTTTTCTTCTTACATGCTGAGTTACACCTCGCTGTTCCTTTAATGGTGAGTCCGTTTCGCGATTTCGATTCTCGTACGCAACGAATGCTTGGCGATCGCAACTCATTAAAAACTTTTTTTCTATCAGATCCTGCTATACCTGCTTCCGCTACCATCACGTGTAGCTTTTCTTAGTGTAGCTACTCACGTACTTCCTTTCCAATTGGTATTGTTGTTTCTTCCATAGATTTCCCTTAGCAACCTCTGGCAAATTTGTTTATAAACTTTTATAATTTATGATTTTATTGAAAAGAAAATTTTTACTAAAGGATAATTTTATTAAATGTTTTCCTCTGAACTCAAGCACTTAGAAATGCCACAGTTCTCATAACGTAAAGGATAAAGATTGTAAGGATTATGTTGATTTTATTAACAATTAAATTTTGAGTTAAACTTATTTTCCTATCGCTTCTTAATTTCAACTTACCACTTCAGGCCAGAACGTAGTTTTAGAATCACGTCTGAATGCTAATGAGGAAGAGCGGTATTTAACCGCGAAGTTCAACAGTCTTAGTGAGAGAGATACCAGATATTCTGGCTGCACGTGCCCTCCTTCTTAGGCTACTCTCTCGTAAGCTATTATTACGCTCTGCCGTACTTTAGGCCCTTGATAGCTTCGCAGTCAGTTAGCGATAAGGGGCCAACTCTGTTAGAATTTTGATAGCTTCGGCTATATCTCTTTAGTTAAGATTAGTTTAGTTTAATTCTTAGTTTCTGAAGTTCAAGCCCGAGTGTCCGCTTTATTGTACAACTCCAAGACGGAGTTCTGTTAAATCTTATTTGAATAATAAAGGGGCTTTTAACCCTTTCCAAGTTTATTCACTGTCTCAGGAACTCAAGCGATTATTCGCTTACTAGTTCTTAGGATTCTTCACTTTTAATTGTAACTTAGAATCACACAGTGGGAAATACTACAAGATCATAAATATAAAAGTTGGTTCTTAACTCCATTTAACAAAATAGTTGAAATTTTACATCAAGGTAAATTCACAAAAGTAAGTTTAACAAATAAATAAAAGAGCTACGCTTACGGAATATAGAAGAGATCTGGATAAAAGGCCATTCTAGCAAAAATGTTATTTATTCACATATTGATTTCATTATTATCTCCCGAAGGGTTCATTTTGCAGGAGTCTCAACATTGTCTTTCACATGAAACTTTTCATTCGGGTGGAAAACATTTTCTTCATCCTCACTGTGCAGATTCTACAATTAAAACAATTTTGATATATATGATATGAAACAGAAATATATGAGACAGAGAAAATTTAATGTAAATGACTGAAACGCAACACTAAAAAGTGTACATAAAACGTAATAAAAACCCTTACCTGTCTGCCCTTACCTGTTTTGAAGCCGGAATCATGGCCAGTTTACAGAATTCTTTTTATTTCAAAGAGCATTCTTGAAATAAACATATGCAGTTTAATTGTCGCAAGACGCGAACCGATTCTTCATTAATTACATGTGTACTTTTAACGTATTTAAAGTAATGTAATTGGAATAAAAACTATTTGGCAGTCAATATTTTAGAGAGAAAAAAAAAGGTAAAATAATATGAAGATAGTAACAGATTAAAAATAGCGAAGTTAGGATGTTTTCGTTACTTAATCACGATTTTGTTTAGCAAATATATTATAATTATTATTGGATGAAATGCTTATATTTCGCTTTTGCCATTCTGTGAGTGCACGCATCATTAGCATTATGTAAGAAATGTACGATAAGGATTCATTTTGAAATGACGCGATTCAGAAACCTTTGTTACAATCACATTAATATTTTAATACAAAAAGAGAAAATAACCATATTTAAAAGTAGACCTTAAGAGTTACTGCAAAATAAAGTTGTTAAAGTTATAGCTTACATACTTAGGTACTTTGCTGTGATATAATGCTAATAATATAAGTAAATAAAATTCTCACTTCTTGTCTTAAAGCCACAAGCGACCGAGCAGAAAAGCTTTTGAGCACTATTAGTTCGATTCGGGTTCAAAATACCGATGAAAAGACTGGTTTTATGGGAATCTTCGTGTTTTTTTTCACGAGTTACTCTTCTAAATCTTCTCGAAAGCAGTCCTTCTCTTAAGCAGATAGCTCTAGAGTTTTTCACAATGAAATCTAAATCGGGGGTTCACAACCAGGGAGCAATTCCACCCGGGTGGTGATTTCTATTTAGCTGTTAAGTATTTAATTTTAGTTTAGAATTGTTTTTATTTTACCACTTTTATTCAGGTTTTAGTATTTATCAACATTTTGTCTTTTGCTGTTTAACTGTCATTTCTAAACTGTCATTTCTAACTCTGTCATTTCTAACAAACGTGAAAAATTCATCTAAACCTAACTAAATATAATATGTTGTATTAACTAAATATAATAAATATACATACTAAATACAATAAATATATGTGAATTTTTCGAGTATGAGAAATGATCTTATAACAATGATGATGGAGAAAAAAGGGTTGAGAACCATTGATCGAAATAATCCTAATCCTTGAAACTGCAAATTCAATCTTCCTGTCTTAGAAATAGTTAAAGTCAAATAAGTTCTTATTTGGAGAAAAATAAAATGACAAGCAACTGAAAACTAGATTCTGAATAAGAAATTTGAATATTTAAATAGACGTGAGTCTATACATATACACAATACTGAGAAAAAGATGACTACAAATTTTACTTCCTTAAGTATTTAACCTTGACATAATATTTCCAGTTATGAACTTTTCCAAAATAGTGCTGTGAATTTTACAAAGATAGATTCAACATTATGAATAGGAAAATTCAGTAAATATTAAATAAAGCATAAGGAATATTCTGACAATTAAAATATTTGCAGTAAAGATGCATAGAAACATTAGTTTGTATGCACCATCTTTAATGAACCCTTCCAAGCATAATTTTAATATTGTATTCCTAAATTTCTGTCTCTTATTTTGAATTATTTTAAATATATATGTATTATTATTTAATGTAATAAAATTTTTAATCACTATTTTTGAACGTTTTATGTAGGTATGTATATTAATACACCGTACATTTTGTCTCTAAATGACATTAAAAACTCCTAGCTTTATTTTAAACACTAAACCAGTGTTTCCCAATTTTATAATTACCATATAACATGCATATAACATGCACTGGTGTATAACGCGCAAAAATAATTTCAGCTCATATTTTTTAATTTTTAGGTACATTCGCTATATAACGCTTACCCTTTTCTTTATGAAGAAATCTGAAAGATACAAGCGCGATTCTCTTATCTTTTGAAGTCTTTCATTCGAAGATTTTTTCCATGCTTTTGAACAATGGTACATTGAACTGACAAAGCGATAAGAGGAACAATATGTGTGGATTTAAGGAGTAAGTAATTTGTAAAGAGGGTGTGTTGTATTCATTGTAGGTGTGCACAAGAATGTTATTATAGGTTTCGAAAAGGGGGGACTTAATTTGGGGTAAGAATGCGCTTCCGAACTTAATGAATTCGTGGAATTAAGAGTCAGATGTTTTCTCTTTCTGTAGTCATTTGAAGCATCGATTTCGAAGTAAATCGCACTTTCTGTAGTTGAAACACATCTGGTCTAGTGTTTCTTTTAAAAGCAAATATGGCTCTTGCGAAACAAACACAGTGCTGGTTTGAAATACAAAAAAACGTCATTCAGTTTCTTAAAGAAAATGGAAATCGTGCTGCAACAAGGATATTCGGTGCTGGTGAAAACACCATACATGAGTGGAATAAAAATGAAATCGCAATAATTAATATGCCAAAGAATAAATGTGCTTTACATAAAGAAGTAAGGAAATATCCTATTCCAGAAGAAAGTGTTACGAACTGGGCTCCGGACAATCGCCAGAATGGATTAATTACAACAATAAAAAGCGTACGTTTATTTTTCTTAAAGTAGGTAAAAAGGAATGCAAATGCAAATGAAAATTTTAAATCAACTTTGAGTTGGCGTAGTCGATTCATGGCATGGAATAATTCAGCTCTACGAGAAAAAAACAAAAATTTCGCAAACACTTCAGAAAGATTTGGACAACAAATCGATATGTTTCCAGAAATAGGTTATTGGCTTCCGAAGGCAAAAAAATATATATATATATATATTTACTCTCACATACTGGAAATATGGATAAACCCCATAAATGTCTGATTTGATAGGAAATAAAACAATTGATGTGAAAGAAACAAAAATTAGTTCATATAAAAATAACAGCTCACAAAATCTGCCCTCACCGTAGTGTTTTTCTGCTTAACGAATGGTACAAAATAAAAAAAACCATGGTTATTTTTAAAAGAAAGATGATACCGAAATGTAATTTCCCAAATGGTACTTTCATTCATATTCAGTAGAAAGTAGAGATGAAAGAGAACGGTGTGAAAATGTAGATAAGAACTGTTTGACAAAAGCGTTTCTGTTGCCTTAAATAATCCAGAAAGTCTTTTAGTTTGGAACATGTTCAAATCCTATCTAACGGATTATACGAAAATTATACGAGAAATTGCTGAAATACATACATGGTAGTTACTCCAGAAAGATTAAAACCATTAGCTCAGCCTTTAGATGTGTGTATCAATAAATCATTCAAAGAAAATTTAAAACGACAGCGGAATACGTGGATGCTAGAAGATGAAAAAACATTTACAAACAGAGGCCAAATACGTCATGCCAGTCTAGAAGTAGTGTGTGAATGAATAATAAAAGCATTGAATGAAATTAAATCCGATATAATTCAAAAGCTATTTACAAAATGTATACAAACGGTATGAAAAAGGTATGACGGATTTACAAAAGGTATGACGCCCGCAAGATTGCAAAGTAGGGACACCCACTAAGCACATCCTTAGTTTCGAGCTAGCAAGCAGCCTTCATTAACCATTATTTAGCAATATGGATGGAATGGAAAATGATTATTTAGTTATGAACCAGAGTAATAGACCAGAGTATTATAGTGAAGATGAAACAGAATTCGGTGATTTGTCTGAATAATAACGAAAGACGAATATGACAACTTTTTATGTTATCCGAAAACGAAAATTTTTAAATTCAAAAGGTATGTCATGCCTTTTAAATAAACAGCATTTCGGTACACGTAGCGATCTATTTTTTATATCCTCATCTTTTCCTTATTTTTAAATCTATCCTTTTTATATCCGGCGTATAACGCGCACCCCTAAATATCGATCTCATTTTTTTTTTTTTTTTTTTTTTTGTATTAAAACTGCGCGTTGTGCGCCGGAATATACGTTTGGCAAAATTTATTGTCAGCCTGATCTTCGCTTTTATTTCGTTGATTTATTGGTTATTATTGATGTATTTCAAACATTTTATCTAAGACCATTTCATTTAATTTGAAATTCGAAATCGGTTTTCCTATCTACAAAACAGTGCTTTTTGATTTATAATTTCATTTCTAAAAATAATAAATCTGATAATTTATTTCCAAGATTATAATTCAATTCATAATTTTAATAGGAGGATTCTATAAATTATTAGAATTCAACATAAAATTTAAATGAAATGTAAAAAACATAAAATATTTTAAATTGAGGCTATATGACATTCGTCTTTTGCAAAATAAGAAATTTTCATAAAATATTAATTCTAAAAGAAGGCATATTTACCAGTAGTTTTAATAGTTCTTCACTTGGACTCTCTTGCAAAGTGGTTGATAAAATTCCCAGTTTGGGATCACTTTTAGGTAAATGAATGTGATGACAGTAATAGAAAATTAAGATAAAACCTGCTATAACTATCACAGAGAAGAAGAGCATAAGTAGAGAGAGACCTGCAAAAATTCATAGCAATATCAACAGTTAAAGTAAATATGTGAGTAAATATTATTCAGGAAGCATGTGTTATATTTAACTTTCGTAGCATAAAATGCTTGTTAATATTGTTTACTAATGCATTCTTTATCTGACTTCGAGAACAATATAATTTTTACAATAAAAAGTTTTCTTACAGTATAATGTTATAGAAAATTTCTAATTAAACTCGATGTATAAATAAAATAAAAACAAAATTACATTGCGTTAGCTATTTAAAATAATTTGCTGCGGACTCGATTTCTATTGAAACCAGAAATAAATTATTTTACAAAATCTCCTTTCGAATTCTTAAAATACATTTCTCGAAAATGGAATTTGTGGTTTGTTACAAAATGATCCTCTAAATATATTGCCTACCCGAGGATAACTTCTGATGACTGACACTGATTGATGATCAAACATCCAGTGTACGAATGTGAAGATCATAATTGTCGCAATACATATGGATAAAACACATGTCATATTTTCTGCATAAGGCTTTATTATTCTTGTGAATGCCTCCAAAACAACAGCTGTTTATTCTTCAGTTGCCTGGATTTTTTTTTCTTTTTGCAATAATCGCCCTCAAATGAGTTTTAATTGACGAAAGAACAAAATTCTAGGGTGGCCACTCAATTTGTATCGGAAAACATGATTTTCCACCTAGCAACAAATGAATCATTTAATATTTCTCTTACACAGACTGCATGAAGGCGGAAGCACCACGCTGACGGAATGAACAGTCCACTCGAAGATTCAGTTTCGGAATTTCCGGAACAAACTATTCATACGACATGAAAAGATTTTTTATTCGTCTTACGGCTGCACACTTGCTCAAAAGTATTCGTCGGGAATGGCCAACTTCCTCGGTCATTTAACTCCTCACAGACAATATGACTCTGGGATGTACCACAAGGTATGAAGGTCGCGAGATTGCAAAGGAGGGACACCCACATGCAGCCTAACCACATCGGTAGTTTCGAGCTAGCAAGCAGCCTTCGCTAACCATTATACACCGCCCAGCTGACATGATAAGCTATTGATTGATTGCACCGTAAAAAAATAGGGACCAATCAGGCACTAAGTTTGCCGTCAGCTTATACCTATCACCTTAAGTAAAATTAAGAAATACACATCTGCACAAAGAATGTAGAGGATAATTAGATTCATCATATAATAATATCTTGAATGTGTAAATATGTATATTACAATGAGTTTATTTTTTTGAAATAAACTCGAATTATTCAAATTCTTCAGATATTTGCACAACATAAAAAATTACTATGATACTTGGTTAAGTCTGCAGTTACTCACCTAAAATTTTTCGAATCGAAGAAGGTCTGGGATACATTTCACTGCAACCGCTAGAAGTACAATTGTGTAAGACCCATCCTTCGTCTATTAATTCTGCTTCATTTGTTGTATTGGTGAATATACATCGATCTCTGCTGCAGTTCATATACAGAAACCACGGAACGCTTAAATCAGGTGGCAATCTTTGAAAAAAATACATATTATATTCTTTATGTGTGTGTATGTGTTTAGCATTCTCCTCCTACATAATTTATCTTACATGCATTTTAAAAACGCACTTATAGAAAAGTTTCAATGTCGAATTTTTTTTTCATACTTATTTTGAATTGAAAACTTAGAAAAACAATTTTAAATATGCGTTGGAACATAGATTTCTTTATTAATATATTATTATTGGACTTACTATTTATAGAAAGAAAAAGAATCAATAACAATTAAAGTTAGGTTTATGGACAAATAAGACAAGTCATTAGAGCCGCTTACAAGTGAAGCGAATGGTATCAGCTTTCTCATTAAACGACTCGTGATAATAAAGGTATTGCATAACTATCATGAGATTATAGGCCGATGTACAGGATTATTAGTAAGTAATAATACATAATTAACAGTGCAGCAGCTTATACCTTATTAAATACAGAATATAACAGACGTAAAAAATCTGAACAATTTTCGCAAAATAAATAAAATTTAATATAAAAATTATAACTTATCTGTTTTATTTAATCTTTGTGTATTACAAAGGTTAGTGTTTTTACAAATGAATGTAACTTACTACTATTGTGGTTTTTGAATGATACCCAAGGTGCATCACAAGGAACGATCGATTAGCCCTGTCTAGTTTTTGATGGGGAACATGCCAGGGGACGGATCAGAGGGTTTGCCACTCCTCTTCCCCTATAACTAAACTTCTAGGGAGGATTTATGACTCGACAGTATTATAAATGCCCCCATGTTGCACAAACATTATACACTAACAAATAACCAAGCCTACCGCAGTATTCGAACCTGGGGATTTACTACTGCTATATATACTGTAAGCATCAATTGAGGAATAAATCATATATTTTGAAAAATAGTTGTTTAGTATTATAATTAAATTGCATATTTTATTTAATAAATCGTGTTTTGCTTTTACTTTAAAAAATTACAGTTCTGAAATAAAATAATGCAGAGCAACAGCGTTTATCTTTGCCCGTGATGTGTTAGCCATACCGATTTTGGAGCCAACCTAGTGTATGATGTTTATATACTATGAGAAACATTACGGTGCTGTAGAGTCATTAGGTTACTTGTGGAAGTGGGAGACATGAAAAATGAGCAATGCCCTCCCCAGGATTCGAACCTAGACTTCTCTAATACGCGCCAAATGTGTAACCGTTACACCACGAAGGCACGCAAAAAGCAAGGATAAAATACTTTATATACTCTTCCTTTTAAAGGGCGACTGATAATTAGGGAACCCAATCGCCAAATCCTGGTGCCATCCACTACTAATAATCATCCACTACCTTTTACTACCACTTCTTATTTTTATCCAAGAGCCATGATAAATGAGCAATGCCCTTGAATCTGGATCTCTCGAATACACGCCTTGTGTGCTACCGTTACACCACGAAGGCATGCATGGAAGGAGGGAGAAAATACCTTACAGTGAAAACATGTATGCAGTTTAGAATATGAATGTTATAAGATAAATAAAATTCAGAAACGTGAATGCAAATAAATTCATACAGACTATTTCTGTATATACTAGGAAACGAAGTTTTTCCTTATGTTCCTATTGCGTGAAATTTTATTAAATAAATAACCTAACAGTTAACGGACTGTAAGCCCTCTAAATTGATTTAACCTGCAAACTTATTTATGAAATAACAGCAGTTATTTTCAGAAACAAGGTTGACATTTTGAATAAAAATAATAATAAAATGCTATAAGAGTAGAATGGCGAAAGACTGTCCCGTTGCTTTTGAGAGTATACTATAATACTTCTAATAATATATCGTTAGTTCTAGCATCGTTATTGTCTTTATTTTCACATCTTTATTAACGGATTTAAATTTGCAAATTATTGTGAATATAACGGTACAATTCCATTCCGCTTCTTTGATAAGTTTTTAAATGCAAAACAACTCTAGTAGAACAGAAGGGCGGGACATAAGAATTTCATTTAGATGACCGCTGGCAAAGCCTGTCATGGGTAGGGAGTACCTATGTGTAGCTCTTTACCCGGAGTATCTTAATAAGTGAAGTTCCTAACAGTTGAGAACATTGTTTTCAGAGATAATTCGTAGGTGATGTAGTATCAGAGAGACTGGTCACAAAAATCTAATGGAGTAAATTAACGCAGAATTCTCAGATTTTCAAGCTGATTCGACAAAGAACGCGGAACATTTAATTTCACCATTAGTCCTACAGGTATTCTCCACCGTAGTGACCATACACTTCAATCCCAGCCAGTATTTTTCGTGTCGGTTATGTTGCAGTGGCACTTTACACTTACAAGCACCTGCCTTCTTCGGGATTTGAACCAGGACCCAGAAATGGCAGCTCAACGAAATATCTACGAAAATGACAAATTTTTAAACAACTTTTTAAATATATTAATAAATATAATCAGTACGTATTTTAAGTAAAGTTTGAATTAAGAGTTAGTTATTATTCAGGTTCAAGGATCAAAATTCTGAAATACTAGATTTATAAATGAATAAAGAAATTACTAACTTTCACTAAGTACTTTTTAAAATTGTTATTTAAATGCTTTCTTGTTGTTTTTCATGCTAAAAAATAATTTCTTTAAAAATACTCGTAATTTAAGACCTTGGATTTCGCGAAGTTTGTAAAAAAAGTATATTTTTTCTTAAATAAATAAATAAAATAAAATACAATAAAATAAAAAGGGCAAAAGTAAATTTTCTGTACTCTTTAACGGTTATTAAATTAACTCTTTGCAAATCAGCAAAGCACACATTTTTAAATAATTCTAGATTCGTTTGAAAAGCACTGAATTTGTTTCTAAACTCTTAGTATCATCTAACAAGGTCACATCAATATATAGTAACATGATACAACAGTTTTTATTAATGCAGAATGCATCAACAATAGAAATGCATCAATTTATGTAGAGGGGTTTCTTTGTTATTTGAAAAGTTAAGGATGGGAATTACTTTACCTGTTTTACAATTACCGATATTACCAGCATTTAAAAAATTACATAAGCGTATTACTGATAGTAGCTACCAATAAAGACCAGTAAAATAATACCACTTGAATCAGTTGTTATAATGTTTGATTTTTTTTAACATCTAATTATTCTCGAAATATTATCTTTTACTTTCGATCTGTATTCATCAATAATACAACTTTTTTCATATGTATGTATGTCTGTTACATTCAGTTGAAAAATCAGTAATTGTGCGATTTCTAATATTAAATTAAGGACTACACCCCGAACGAAACAAGGAACTGTAGAACTGTGATCTGGAAATCATAAGGAAGGTTTTCCAATTACCTATTAATCTAAGAAAGGAAGTAAATAACATAAAGTTTTATAATACGAACAGCTTTATTTACATTGTACTCACTAAAACCTTGCAAAAATTTGGCACTTACTCCTCAAGGGACAAAACATCTATAAGCTTACGTCCTTACGTTAGTTTTCCGATATAAATGTCTAAAATATGTCTCTCTTTTCTATCAGGGAAAAGTGAAGATATATGACTTTCAAAATCCTATTAACAGAAATACTAAATATAAAAATTCCTTTACTTTACAGAATGTTTTTTCAGCATCATCTCTTCACTCGTGCGTTTTCGACGTTTTTTTAATCGGAAGAAAGAAATTCGGAGAATAATAATTTTGAAAATTATTTCAGCGCCTGTACTGCATATTACAGACTCGGATTTTCCAAATAAAATCGTTAAGGAATTATCTGCTATAAACAGCTGAACTCCTAAGAAAACGTTTCCTTGGACTAGTTTTATTAAAAGGAGTCACATGACTAAAACTACCATAGCCTGGGAGAACACATCCCAGTTGAAATTCTGATAATCCGAACTTCAGATATCAGGCTCTTCGATTATCGAAATCGCTTGTTCTCCTTTCTAAGACAAATATAATTAAGTTTATTATTAATTTACTTACTTAATATTATAACACTAATTCATTCATATTTTAACTTTTTATTTGATTTAAATAACATGAAAGAACAATACAAAAATGGTGATAGAATAATATGGAGAACATAAAAGTAAGTTTGAACATCTTTCATGGATCCACGACTTCCTGATCTCTATATTATATAATCTCTCTGAAGTATTCTAATAAAAGAGTTAAAAATTACTTCTTTTCTTCCCCATCTTAAAATGAACTAGCTACTAATTTTCAAGAGCAATGGCTAAAATTCTTTTTAAGGTCTAAATAATGCATTTTTGAAGAAATGCTGCAATATTAACATCCGAAGGAAAGTTGTCACTATAAAGTACTGCACTTCAGATGCAAATAGTTCAGTTTAATTCTCCAGTTCCTATTCATTAAGAATATAGGCCCGCTTCAATGAGTTTTAGACATAAAAGAAGCATTTTTCTTCTTAAAATAGATTTATAGATATGGTGATGTTAGACTAATTTTCCTTTTATATCAAGAAATTTGTATTTCAATATTTCATTATTTCATTGAAATATTTCATTTTCAGGCAATTACTTTCTATGAGTGTTTAGATGTGCGTCGCTTTATTTTGACACTTAAATTTGTATTTCTGAGCTTAATATGTTTTAATTATATAGTCTGTGTTGAAATAACATAAAGCAAAGCGAAAAAATAAAATTCTTGCACTTGCATTACAGAAAATAAATATTTATCGAATAAAGCGTATTTAGGATTTTGGAATAGCAAATGGGCAGTGGTTTGCGTTAGTTCAGGTGTTTGAAGTTCTACTATGTTTATATCATTTCTGGAACTGAAAATATGCTTCTGCAGTCACTCGCTCAAAAGAAATTTAACCACGCAGTTTAACCATGCAGACTTTTTGAAACACTTGTATACCACTTGCTAACGCTTGAGAAATCGGAAGGACGTAATTTATCTATACAAAAGAAAAGTTTTAAAAAATTCGAATTTACTAAATATGACGAAATAAGACAGAAAGAGTAACTTCTGCATTGAATTGATGAGTTCTATTTGTCAGTAAAAATGCTCAAAATAAAGTATTTTGAAACGCAGAGAAAGCCTGTTATTATGAATAAACTGTGTACAAAATGGTTATAAGTATTCATAACTTTAACCAGGCCATGTTTTGAACTTCTTTTTCGAGATGTCTTCTTTTTGGAAGAGTTTGAAACTATTATTATATGAGAGCTATTAAATAGTAACACAGTATTACATGCAATAATCAGTTTGAAAGACCAGAGCTTTGATGATTATACAACAGTTGTCTTTTTAGTTTATTATTAGTTACACAAAAAGAATTCTTTTTTGATCTCGTCATTTTCGTAACGCCTGGTTTTGTAATTCTGAATTCAGCTGTTGTAGGAAACATCAAAAGTGTGCAGTGTCCTTCCCTGAACTCGAATTTTGGACTTCTCGAATAAGCGTTGAGTGTGCTTCCAATTACGCCACGAAGGCATGCGGAAAGAAGGGAGAAATGTACCTTATATACTCTCTCTTTTAAACAGCGACATAAAATTAGAGGACCTAATTTCCAAATCCTGATGGTGATGAATTATCATCCACCACCTTTTAGTTCGAGCGCCACTGTAGAGTCACGAAGTTATTATTATTTTTTTGAAATGCAGGAAACATGAAAATGTGCAATATTCTTGCCGGGACTCTAGCCCAGGGCTTCTCGAATACGCGTCGAGTACGCTTCCAATTACACCACGAAGGCATAGGAAGAGAAGGGAGAAAATACCTTATACAGCTTATGACATAAATACATATTCACAGCTGGCACAGTAGGCATAAATTACATTTAATATTCTAAAAAATAGAAGAAGGGGGGGAAGATGATATAATAATATTTAATAATAAATCTAGTATCTGTTTTAAATGGAAGTTGTGGGAATAACTGTTAAGAACTCTGTTTCAGAAAAATAAATTTATTATTTAATTACTAAAACTACTATATTCCTATCAACAAGCAAGTTTGCTAATGATTTAATTGCAATAATCGTAATAATTATTGCAATTAAACCATTACCAAACTCCTGACAAATTGGCTTTTCATTATTTCGAGATACTGTAAAAATACTTAACAGTAAGTCTTGGATATATTTTAAACAGAAAACCTAAAAATAACCCTGAAGAATCTGGAAAATAATTTAGTGATCTAATTACTAAAACTACTTTATTCGTGTCAGCATGAAATGCTATTAATGGTTTAGTTGTAATAATCATTAAAATTTTTACAAACTGGTACTGCATTACATTACACTTATTAGATCAGTAGCTTAGAGGGCATTCCGTGTGCTTTCATGACCAAAGATTTAGAGATTTAACAAGCAGAATCAATGGTGCTTGGATTGAGGTACTGGGGATATTAATTTTTTTTTCTCAATGCTTCGTTAAAAAGCAGTAGCAACACTTCGATAGTGTTAAAAAATTTTATTACCATCGATGCAAACATTTAAAATCTAATCGCCTATGTTTACCAAAAATCCTCTGCCAAATTTCTGGAAGGCATCGTACACCATCGGTATGTCCTCTTCTGTTGATGTTCCACAGCCAAAGCACGGATACCTTCCTATTCTTTTTAACAGTAACACGAACTCAAAGCCATGAAGTTAGCGGGATTCTAGAGTTTGAATTCTGTGACGGCAGTGCACATTGTCATGGAGAAGGATGGGATTCGTCACTTTTTCTTGAGTGTTGGACGCAGAATCCCATCATCATCCATGACAGTTTGCAGTGTCTTGATGCCAGCGCGTCACAAATTTCCATACTTATCCGATAAAGAGTAGGTGCAACTATGGTCACTTCGCTAAAATGAAGGAGCCACTGCTGGAGATCCATTTCAACATTAAAGTAGACAGAAGGTTATCTGTACCTTAGGAAGTCTCAAGAGCATCAACAAAACTGGAAGTCATGATAACGTGATTTGGCAGAAAGTGTTAAATATGGCAAGCACTTTCGTTGGAAGGAATTGTAAATGTCTGCGCCTATGATATTAAAGTCGTTTCAGAACTATCGAAGTATTGCCATTACCTTTTATTCAAACTTTGTTTCTATTCATTCACCCTCCTATTTGCCTAGTAAAATTCAAATCTTAAAAAAAAAATTCATTCTTGACGTTTTTTTATCATTCTGTGCAAATAAAAAGTATAAAAATATGTGAATAAACTAAATGAAGGTAACTCACGCTTTATTGTAGATTTTATTGTTGGCAATGTAACTTAATTTTCCCATGGCTAGTTTGTTCCCTCTGCTCTCACTTTCACCAGAAGTTTCGTCCCTCGGAACTTTCTTGGTATTACCTAGGTGACCTATTGCATGGTCGTCGGAGACAGGATGTTTAACATGGGGATCAGCGAAGTATCTACCAAGAGACATAGTGTCAATTTTATCATGCGGAATCCCTGAATTCGAATCGAAGTGGTCCGCTTTGTTAATTGGCTCAAAACTTTCTCCTGCAGGTACTGCAACAGGTTTAGATGAAAGGTTTTCTTTAAAGATAGATTTGATATTTTCCGGTAAGCTGATGAAGCTTATGGTATTATTTGAAACGTATTTAAAATTTCCGATATCTTTCGGTTTTGTGTATGAATATGCAATAGGCATATTATTCAAATTGCTGCGCTTAGGGTGACTGGAAAGAAATGGTTGATTCTGACTACTATAATGTAAAGAATTTTGCATGCCATATGAATTCGTCTGAAAACTTTCTAAATTTTCTTTACGATTACTGTCTTTTGAAGGGCCTAAATAATGTATTTTTCTATCTTTCAAATCCTGAATTTTATCGTCAGCTATAGAATTAAAGGGAAGATTACTATCAATATCGTTATCTTCCGTATTTTTCAAATTTTCCCTTACTGTTCCATGTATGTGTGGTTTACCTTTAAAATTAGTTACAATACCAAATTTTTTATGCAAATAACGAATTCGGTTTGGCAGTCTTAAGTTCTGAAGCCGAATTTTTGAAAAGTTATTCACTACTGGATCAAACTGAAAAACTGAACGCAAATTTTGGAATGAATTTATATCATTAAATCTCGAATATAGTTTCTGTATATTATTTGAGCTTTCAGTAGACTCATTTGAGGCAAAATTGAAGTGAACGAACTCTTTATGGAACTTAGATGGATAATCTTTAAAAGCTACAACTGCTTTAAATTCATTACTAATATTAAGATTTCTAAGTACATAATTTGATTTATCAATATCTTTCTTCACTGCCATTTTTCTAAAATTGGTTTTGTTACTTTCTGGATTGTCTTTAGAGGAAGACTGCGGATCAAAGAAGTACACAGTCGGAGATTTAACACTTGGAAGTTTTAAAAAAGAGTTTAATTTAGCGTCATCAGTGCGAAGCTCGTAATTTTCTTTTCCAACTTTTTCAACGAATTTAACTGAAGGGTCTTCTGCAAAGATGGAGTCAAGAATGGTTGATGATGCTGGTACAATGTTTCTGGAAATTTTAAGACTTTCTATTTCTGTAATATTTCTTGGTTCTTTATTAGAATGGAAAGATTTTAAACTCTTAGTATTGCGATCAAGATCGTTAGCTGTTCTTTGTGAAAGCCTAACTGGTTTCTGCTGTTCTCCATGAGTAAAAGAATTTTGCTCTTTGTAGGCAATGGGCTGACCGTTCCTTAAACTATTGTCTTTGCGGTCATTGCCTTTTGCGTTGCTTGGATAATTCAATTCCATGCTTTTGAAACTAAGAAAATGTCTTGGTGTAACTGGAGTTACTTCAAAACTATTTATACCATTGTTATTTAGAGCACCTTTTAAATCATTTTTTAAATTGCTTTGCATTTGAAGCTTATCATCTAAATTAACTACTGCATCAACTTTGCCTGCTCGTTCTTCACTTCTCATCAACGGTCTATAGACAGGCAACCAGTTATTTACAATTTTATCTATTCGTAGTTCCGTAGGAAGAACAGTGAGAATTTCTCTGAACGAATTCATGTCATCAAACTTCGGTTGGGGTCGTTGCATACTATTTGTCATTTCTTTGTCCTCGGCTGAGTAGGGATACAAATTCATAGGTTCTTTGAAGAATTTGTGTGGATAAACTTCAATATTTCCAGCTCTCTTAGATGACTTATCAATAACACTATTATGAGGTAACCAATCTTTATCATTTATCATATACAGGTTATCAGACTTTCTGTCAAAAGGTAATGTCTTAAGAATTTTATCTGGTGCATCGAAGTCCTTCAAATCACGTTTCGAAACCGCGTCATGTTTTTCATAGTCGTAAGTTGCAGATCTGAACTTATCAACTAATTTTTTATTTGGCAGTACGTCTCGTAGCGTGTCATTGCTAACTTCTGTTGCATTTTCACACTCAAACTGCTGAATGTGTAGCAGGCAGACAAATAGTAAATAATATCCAAATCTACGGAACAAAACCTTCATTTCAGTACAAGTTTCTTCTCTCTGGGTTTTTGAAATTTACATACAACCTGAAAAACAAAACTAAAAAATATGAGGATTTTTCTCAAAGCAATGAATAATCTGAAATCGAAATAAAAATGCCATAGAAAAGTTAAGTATTTTAAAAATAAAGAGTAATAATTTTAATAGCAAAATCGATTCTTAAAAATGTATTCTCACTAACATGTCAAAATTTTAAAAATAAAGTAAATAAATAAATAATATTGTTATTGAAAAATTTAAAGAAATGCATCATTTTAATTAAAATTGATTTAATTCATAAATTAATTCCCATAATAAGTATTTTTACTTAAAGCTCATAAAATGAAAATTATTCATTTACAGAAAGAAATAAACTAACTATATGGCTGGTGAAAGTAGGAGAAAATTAAAAATTCAATGATTCGAAAAAAAGATATAAAAAAATAGACCGTAACGTGATGAGGTTTTCACAAAAATTCACAGAAAAGCGCGAGTTTTTTTTAATAACGAAAGATTTTATAACCTGATTAATTAAAATCTTCTAGTCTACCTGATTAATTGCTTTTTTCAGCGACAAGTGACGCTATAGGTCATCCGAAAAGTGGTATTTCGTTCGCGATGATGTGATAAATGCTCAGATCATTTCTTACAAATACAGTATAATCAGAAAAGCAAACCAACCAATATTAAGAGACGTCGTGGATTTTAAACCTGGGCTATTCAACAGATAGAAAATAATGCTATCAAACGAGTCCCTTATCAGTTCACTGGAAATGTATTTTTTGCTTATATAATGGAAATGTAAAGCACACAACCGCCGCATCTGAGCGAGAGAGAATTCATACGTGACTGTGAAATCTCTTTGCATAAACCAAAAATGAAAGCGTAGTGGGACTTCACTACATTTCAGTACAAGTCCTCTAATTTGAAGTTCACAGCTGCATTTCGAATTGTTTCTATCACATTCGAGAAGTTTATTCTCTCCTTCGAAAAGAGGCAAATGCTCCACAGTGTAAAATTAATGAGGAATTAAGTGCCTCTATACAGGTTCTGCTTAATCATTGGTACCGGCATTCGATGATGACTTATTCTTAGTCGTTCTTACCACCAAAGATCTACAGACCTCACAATTTGTTGCTTTTGGTTATGAGACTACTTAAAGTCACAGGTGTAAATATATCTTCGGATGTTACTGCCTCCTAATTGAAAGAAGTTATTCACTACCGTGTGACAGAAAGTACAACTGAATCCTCTTCGATACTGTGCAAGGAATCGCGCGATGTCTGATGGAGATTCTCAAGAGTGACTGTCATCGTAATGAATATTTATAATTTGTAATTCTAGTTGCGTTCCAAAGTGTCCTGCCCTCTTTCATGAACATTTGTCATAACTGAAACACCAACTCTCTGGAAAAAATGTAACTACTCTGAAAATAAAATATTTTTAAAAATTATCGTTACGAATTTTGTATATATGTAAATAATTTATTGAAATAGTAGTATATTTTGTACAATGTAACAAGGAAAGACTTAAGAGACAAATCTCTGTCGCAAAAATAAGATTACAGTGTTTAGTCTATTAAACATTGAGGTAAATGTCTAATATCTCTCTAAATTCGCTATATATAGCGCAGCTGGTGATGGTTTCGGCGGCTAAATTTTGCTGCCATATTTGACAAGCAATCTCCAAATCTTGCCAAACTTGGCGACTGCCTATATAATTGTAATTGGTACTGTAATTGAATAACTGTAATTGATCCCTGTATGTAACTTTAACCGTATATGCCTTCAAATAATTTCGAGAAATGGAAGGTGCTAAAAATTTCTCGACGGTCGGGCGAAAACCATATAAGACCGGAGAAAGCGTCAAATTTCAGTTTTTTAATTCATAGCTGAATTCTCAGGCTTGAGTGACTGTGCGAGCTTCGCTTTTTAGACACACTTTCCATTGTGTTCTTAGTAGTTTGAAATGGTAACTGCTGAATATGCTCTGTCATGCTAAGAGGAGCTGTACCTGTATTTTTGTGGAAAGTTCCAGAGCTGTAAAGTCTCTTTTGGTAAAATAAATTTTATCAAGCTATCATTGATTCTGTGTGCATTCAATCGATTACAAACCGTTATGCTCTCAATAATATTTTAAATATTTTATCACTAGAGAGGTTACACTTTACAAACTATTGTTAGGAAACAAATTCCATATCTTTCTGTGTATTTTTGCGAACACCACATCGTACTACTATGTATAGGTTTCGAATTATTAAATTTTTAAATTTTTGGTTAGCTTTGTAGCTCTCAGTATATATAAACTTTAACTGGATCGAAATGATATATAAAAATGTGAATAACTACATGGGATTTTAACATTGCTGGATACGCAGTAAAATAATCATCGAAATCTCAAACAAATGAAGAAAAAGTAAACTCCCTGAATTTATTACTTATTATACGTTTTTCTAAAGGTAAGATACGATCTCGGAACGTATCTTACCTTTAGAAAAACGTATAATAAGTAATAAATTCAAGGAAACTGAAAATAGAGAACACTTGTCCTTGAATCCCTATCAATAGATATCGGTTGCCTAAAAATCAAACAAAACTTTTACTTAAATTGATTTTCTTAAGTCGACAATATTTTCATGAAAGCAAGTTGAGAAATGTTAATAATCATTGCTGATAATTATTTATCAAATAGCAGTTTCAGTAGCACTAACTGAAAAATTATCCTTCTGAAAATTTTTGAAAATATATGGCATATTTCACAAAATAGTTGCCAATCTCAGGATATATTTCGTAATTTCAATAGGATTACATACAATTTATTTAATAATTCAAATTGCGGTTTGAAAATCTGCAAAAAGGCTTTTATTGGAGAGAATAAGCATAAGAAACTTTCATTAGTTTCAGGTAAGGGTACAGTTAATGAAATTTTGGAAACATTTTGCCAATGCACGAAATGAGCGTCCACAAAATTTATTATACGTCCTTAATAATCGCAATTATTGAACCTAGACATGCATCTAATTGCAAAAATTAAATTTAAAAAAGTTCAGTCGTGTTAAAGGTTGTAGAGACATTAGGTTATTTCGAGGCAGAAGACATGAAAAATGAGCAATGCTCTCACCGGAACTCGAACCTGGGACCTCTCGAAAACGCGCAGAGTGTGCTGGCTATTACACCGCGAAGGCGGCAGAAATACGTTATAAGGTTGTCAAATCTAACTTTGTAACGTCTCCCGATTCTCTTTAACATGTTAAACTTTATACTAAGAGATAAAACGTAAAACGTTTGACTCCAGAAGGCCCAAAAATTGAGTGATATATTTAATTTTAAAGTTTCATATCATATTCAGGGGTCGTGCACAAATTGAAAAGAAAAATGTTTGCAATTTTTTCGCAACTAAAAATGAAATACCAGTTTAGAGAATTGTTTCTGATGTTACTAGATCAAATGAAGAGCATTGTTATACAGATTGTCGTAAAACATATTGACAAACATAAATTGTTTCAAAAAGGTCTTATTCACAGAATGTAATAGAATAGAATTCGTGTTTTAAAAAACAGTATCAGGCTTTAGTAGTGGCACATAGCCAATTCATAATTTTATTTAATAATTAATCAAGCAAGAAATATTTCTGTTTTATGACTTTTATGTATAATTATTAGATTATTATTCTAAAGAAATAAATATTAAAGTCAATTACTTATACGAAAATCTTTTCGGCTAAAAGAATAATATAATAAATTAAACAATGTTACGCATTAGTGAATCAAAAAGAATATCACTAAATGACATTGAACGGAAAAAAATCAATCTCGAATAATTCTAATTTATTTTTTAACTGACTTATTTATCCAAGCCGAAATGGGGTCAAAAGGGCCAAAGTTTGTGAAAAATAAAAAACCTCGTTCAATTTTTTTCAAACGGGAATCAACGTTTTGTGTTTCATTTTCACTTTCTTGTTCGAAGTAAAGCATGTATTGTAATCGTGAAAATTTTCGGGTATCATATTTCAACGAAAATATCCCTTTTACCGCTCTCGAATATAGCGTGACAACTGTACGTACGATTAGAATAAAGAACTCTTTTTCTCAAAAGAAATTGCAAAATGGATTGAAAATGAATTCAGAAGAGATTTTTTTCGGGACGTCTATATCTACGTATACTTATGTAAATATGTATGTGTCTCACATAACTCAAAAACGAGGTAGCCTTAGAATGCTGAAATTTGGTATATGGTGCTGCTATAACATGTTTTTGTGCGCCACCCTTTAGTTGCAATCGGCCGCACCAAACGTATATATGTCCATTCTATTATCCGGATCGGTGAGCTTATTTTTTTATTCTTATATGTCGGTAAATTTCGTATTTTTTGTTTTAAAAGTGGCGGCTTAGCCTATCAAGGCCGCGATTTGTTTACATTTGAAACTCTTACTAGAAAATAGTGAATTAAATCAGTTTGTGTACCAACTTCAGCGCCTTTTAGCCTAGTGGGACCAAAAGCAAACTTTCAATTTTGTGCATCGAAAAATCTGTCTTCTAGTTCGCTGACTGAATTGCTTTTTTTGCGTAGAAACTCTAGTTTTTATTTTACAAACCAATTTTTTAAACTTTTTAAGTGTATTTGGTGTCTGAGTTTTTTCCATATTTTAAAATTTTTAAGGAAAATGCCTTGAGTTTTTATGTACTTTTGCCTTGCCGCGAAGTGAAAACTCAATTGATTGAGAAATATATCTCCAATGAAATCGAAGAAAAAAGTTTAAATGAAGTACAGCAAAAAAATGCGTATAATTTAATAGGCCGTGCAAGGAAATCATGGGGTGTCCGCATAAGATTTTTTATAAGTCTAACTTTTTCGTTAATATAAGGAAGCGTATGCAGAGCTAAATTTCATATTTTATACAAAATTATCTTTCTCTTTTTTAATTAAAAAATACGAATGTATAAATTTCTGTATCACTTCAAGAGGTTTTAAAAAGGGATGTATGAGTGTATGATCAACAGTTACGAAATTAAAGGCCGTATAAGAACTTTTGCTGATATGGTGTATTATAACATCTCAAAAAGAAACAAAAAATTAAATATCAAAGTTTTCCATGTTAAATACAGTGACTCGCATTTACTTTCGGAAAATTGTGGGTTTTTTCTTTTCAGTTTTATTTAAAAATATTATTTATTAAAGGTTAGCAGAATCACTTCATTTTCCTCTCACATGTACTGTTCATCATCTATTTTAAAACCTGCTTATTTTAAAAAGGATCATTCCATATGTTCTTGGCAAAAAAATAATAATTTTTTTAAGAAGTTCTGAAAATGAATTCACGTTAAGTATTAGGATACTCCGTATAAACAGTTTATATTTAAATAAAAACGTAAGAATAGCGGACGTTCAATATTTTGTTGATTATTCTTTAGCTAAAATTACACTTTTCGTAAGCTTTGGCCACGTATTCAACTAATTTTTTCGCTTGTCAATTTTCCATTTTGTTCCGTTCTTCCGCAAGAGTTACTTTAGTAGAGCTTTCGAAGAAGTACCATGTTTTGTTGTTGATTTCTTCAACTTACTCCATCCATGTTCCATAGCATTCAAGTCTGGAGAATATGGAAAAGCTTTCTTCTGGACAAGTGTATAATAACTAAAAGCGAACGCTTATGGCTGTATGTTTAGAAATGTAACTTTGATAGGCATTGAATGTATTTTGCATTCCAAGTTTTCTTTCAGATTTTCATTAGGAATATTTATATATTTATACTATTCCATATTATTTTCGATAAACACTAAATTTTTCATTCCCAGTGCAGTGAAATATTCCCAGACCATTAGACTTCTACCCCTGTGCGTAACATTAGGCAAAAGATTTCTTAGATTCAATTTTTCATTCAATTTTTTTCAAATATTAATTCGCCTATCAGACCCAGTTTTGACTTTTATGCAAATATAATGTGCCTTCAATATGATAAAACTTCTTTACTACAGAATTTCCGAATGCCAGATATATTTTCCTCATTTTCTTAACGAAGAATTTCCTTCTTGCTGGTCGCTTTTGCATCCATGTGCCCTAAATGACTCTTCTAAAAGTTTTAGGATTACTTTTTTAGGCAGACGTTCTAAATCTGCTGAACGTTTTACACTACTAATTTTTTAAGTCTTATTTTTTTTACAGGATAAATCTGAGAATCTTTCATGTTAGCTTGGAATGTGATGCAGACTTCGGTGCATTTTCAACAATTCCACTGTTTTGAACATGCATCATTTGATTACATCAACAATAATTAAACGTTTTACATAAAGGATTTTTTGCATATTTCAAATACTTTTACCATGTTTAAAAAGATAAATTATTAAATGTCTAATACATTTACTCGTTAATTTGTTGCATGTTGACATCTTGACTTCAGATATGGACCTGTTAATATATTTTGTCAAACAAGTAAAAATTTAAAAATGCAGACGATAAATCTTGTGTTGTGTTTTCAAACTAAAACAAAGAATTATAACAAGAAACATTCCTTATCGAAGCATTTCAACAAAACTACAAGCGTCCAAACTGTTATGTGAGTTACTGAATTATGTTTTTAGAACAAATTATTTTTATTATAAGAAATATTTTGATGATATTTATTTTGCGACAAGCAAAATTTAACATGGAGAATATATATATATATATATATATTTGAAATCTATGTTTTAATACTTAATACAAGAGCTATGCAAGTAAATTCCAAAACTATAAGTGTACGAAAGCAAATGTTAGCCACTGTAAATATCAAAGAATAGATATTAAATACCAGATTTGGCATCTCTTACCGAATCTAGACTTAAAGGACAAATTTCACCAACTTACAATACTCCGAGATGCTGTTTTTCATGCATTATTTTTATACTAAGTATTTCATTGATACAGTTAAACACGAATAAGCAAATCAAGGTTCAAAAATTGTAAATGCCATGAGAGGAAACTTACTTCATTTATTCATGCTGTATTTTAAATTCATGTTCTGATGGAAACTGAAGTCGAATTAAGAAAATGAATTATATTCTGTTTTATTTACATGACTATTTCTGCGGTTAAAATTAAGTTTTGCTTTAAATACAGTCATGAGCAATTTTATTTCATGCGTCGATTTCGCACGTGGGGATATTTTATATTCATAATATAATAGTTTATTATAAATAAACTGATTTAAAGTAATTTAGGAAATCAATTCTCTCATGTTTCTCGTAATAATATATTTGCATCTCAAAACTGAGCTTTAACAAGAAATTTCCGTCCGAATGACTAGACCTAAATCCCATCTGGATTAGTCTCACTAGAAAACCAGACCTGAAAGACTGATTTTTTATTAGTGAGGCTACGCTGCCAACACTAGAAAAATCTAATCGGTGTATGTCGTATTTTGCTAAAGTTTTTGATTTTAATATTTGGCAAAGAGGGAAAACGCTTGTTAAATTGAAACATGTTCATGTTTATTGTGAAGAAAGTAGTGAAGTAAGAAATCTCGAAGAACGTTTTTATTTATTAATGGAAAATGAGCCAAAATTATTAATATTCTTCAGTTTTGAGTACGTACTCAAGTACGTTTGGAGTTATTTTTTTAATTGTAATACATCTTCAGCCTATAAATAATTAAATAACTTCTTTCATCCCGAAGGATTTATAAAAATCTGAGAAAACAATTACCGCAATGGTGGGAAAATGTCCTCTCTCGACTTAAAAGTTTTGTTTACGATTAATACTGTATTATTTTATACTAATTTTGGGTCGCCTTATAGTTTCAGGATATTTACTACCACAGTTGTGTTGTGAGCAATATTGTGTATCTAGCTTGTTTTGAAGGGAAAGGAGATCTTAAAGGCCTCTTCAGGTTTGATAACCACTGAGATTTTGAAGGCGAAGAGAATTTGTCCTTTTCGAGCTCCTGAAATTACTACTGGAGATATAAGTTCACTTAACATCTCGACCACTGAAGTGAATGATATATAAAAAACTTGCAAAAACTTGGCTTTTCAACCTTTGATGATTGGTAAACTTCCATGTTTAGAATCATGTAACTGTCTGGCTTCTCATATGTTATCTTTATTAAAAGTTGTAGACTCTAGTAGAAAGTTTTATACTGTCAGTTCCGACTATTTCACTCAGTAGGGAAATGCACGCCAATCTAGCTAAATACAGTATTTATAAACTTTAATTTTTCAGATCCAAGTTTTCTATCATCTTTTATTATTTGATAGAAAAATTCAGGCATTAAAATCGTATCTATATTTCCAAGCTATCAAAATTTGGATCGGCTAATGAAGAACGATTTGGAATATTTAAATATTTAATTTCAGGATCAGTACCCGATCAAAAACAAAGCATGTAATTTTAGGTACGACAAGAAAATCTATTATTGAAGTAAAAGAATCATTAATTGCTAATAAGAGCATCATTTATTTTCCATTTGATACTCAGAACCACTAACACGAATCTTTATCTTTTGTTCAACAAAGCCTAGAGCAGAACCAAACTGCAAGGTCATCAAATCCGAAGAAGATGCACTATCAAGCATCACTCTTACACTAACATTGTCTTTCAGTATCAGTGATCAAACCTTAAAGATGGCTATTTAGGGAGTAGAATCGTTGTTATCATTGTGACTGCTCTCTCTTCTCTGAATCAGAAGAAGAATCCCACGAAATTCATCGTAGCAAAGAGTATAAGATTACACCTATCGTTGGTAAGAGCCTGGAGCACCATATATATGAGAGTACGGTTTTGCCCAGTTCTACCCCAACTTTGAAGATGAGCACCCTGGGGGTGTAGATCGGAAGATCTTCCACTCTTCTTTTCTTACCACAAACCACACGAGAGGACTTTCAGCTCGTCATATATTCAGAGTGCCCCCATGCCACAAAGCCACTATGCATATACAAATATCCATACCTTCTCCTGGATTCTAACGACGGCCCTTCGGTACTGTAGACAGAACTGTTTCAATTTAACAGACCACTATTCCATTTGAGCAGTCAGAACTGTTTTTCTTGGTATTTTATTTTTAAAAAAATGAAACTCTGTACCACTTCGGTTGGATTCGGATTGCTCATTCCTTCTGCTGACTTAGGATTATTTATTCTTTGCGTATAACGAGCAGCTACAGTGTCAGAAAGGGGAAGGTCCCTGACTGCGAGGTTGGCGAGATATACTCTGACGAAGTTTTTCCAACCAAGTGACTATTTTTTTCAGACCCAGACAATAAACAACTGTGCTTTCCTTGGCACAAGCGACAATAATATTTCGATTTCTATAAAGCAAGCTTATGTTTGTCACTAATTTAATTTAATAATGTAATTTTCCTTACGTAAACAATTTATACAAAATGCATGTACTTTTAAGAATATGGAATCCTTTCAAAGGAGTAATTTTTAAAAATAAAGAACAATTATAAACAAAATGGGATTTTTTTATATAATATATAGGAATAATTCTTTGATTTTAACATGAAATTTCTGCTTTTATTCAAGAAGTTTTAGTTTTTAGTGACTATAATAGAGCACCATGAAAATGTTCTAACACACCGTTTCTAGGACCGTTTCTTTGAATAGTCCATGAACTCTCCAAAACTGGGTAATTCGTTAAACTCATTTAATACTGTTTTCTTGTTTCTTTGCCTAACTTTTGAATGACAATATTTATTAAAAATTGATGCGTCCGTTCATGAGTTTCTAATTTCATTACGTCTCTTAGGTTTTTGTTCAGCAAATTAACTAAATATCTAAGACTGTTATAAGATTCAACATATATTTCCTCAAAATTTAAAATACTCATAATATGAAAATTAACAATCAAAGTTTTGTTTTATGTCTGTGAGTTAAAAACTTCAATTAAAGACCAAAAACTGCCTTTTGTAGTTTCTACAGCTTTCGATTCTCTTTCACGCAGAACGTAGAATAACATTTAGTACTTACGTATTATAACGTTGACGCTGGCGGAAATTTTGGCAACGATTGCCAATCGTCATTCGTTACCGAAGAATTCTAAAGGACATGGTCAACCACAATTGCGGCTAGATCCCACTACTTGGCCGGTGGTTTTTGTTCAACGCAAAGCTGCATGAGAATATTAATAATGCATTTCTAACGTTTCAAAACTTCTAAACTATTTGTGTGAAAAGACAAGGTTTCCATATCTTTTTGTCGTCTGATCCAGCTTTCCTTCTGGAACTTCTGTAAAGCAGGCCTTTCTAACACTAATAACGTTAAGATGTATATTCTAATAATTTATTAAAAGTTAATACAATGCTTTGCTTTGCTTTACAGTTTTTAAATCGAATGAATGAGTTTTGATCAGTTACTATTTAAGGATTCTTTATAAAGAAACAAGATGTTTTGGCGGGCACTTCACAAGATGCAAAAATTTGAAGCATATTATTCGAATTTGTTCAGTAGTGTTGCAATTTGAAGATTAAAGTTGCATTATTAATTCGCAATTATAATTATGAGTTAATAACTTCGAAAAATGAAAGATGTTCTACTGTTTTTTAAATAGCTCGCTGTTGTTGATCTCATTTCTCGTAAGTTTATAGTCACATAGAACTTTAAGTATCTTAACCTTCAGTCATGCCAAGACCTTCTTCTATGCAATCATTATCTTGTATTATAAAAAAAACTATATCTACCGCAGAAATAAAGAACTAAATGGCGTCTTCTTTATTCATTGGTTCAAGCTAAAAGCCTAGATTCCTGCGCAGTGACAAATGATATATAGCTACAAGTGTCAACAACTCTTTATTTTCCATTAATGTTTATTTTATTTATTGGTTGCCATGTTTTGACATTGATTTTTGAACTTCATTCTTATATTTTATATGACAACCGAAAGGGAAAAAGATAAGCTACAACATAGCAATAAAAATCAAGTAAAAATGAAACGTCTCCTTCTCGAGAATCCCTCAGGCTCTAAATAATATACATCATCAATGATTCAGAGCTTTGGTCACGGATCTGACTACGATGCGGACATCAGACATTTTGCTTAAAAACTTAAACGTGTCAGGAATATGTATTAGTGTTTTCCTTCTAGTTAACTTTTTAGTGCAGAGAAAAGGTCAAATCTAAGGTTAACACTTAAAACAGAATGCGTCGCATAATTCAAACATTTCAGAGCTATGACTTTCGTTCGGAATTTAGAAAAAAAATGCCACTAAAAGAAAGTGTCTGTGGACTTGATTTGATGTCAATGAACTATTATCTCCAATAAATTTAACATCACTAATGGCTGCATGCTTTGGATTCCATAAAAGTCAACTCTTAGTATTTTTTATTTTCGTGTCAAATGTAAATATACACTTGTAATCATGAGTGTATTGAATTTAGTCATTTTGTTGCATTTGCGTATTCAGACAAAATGTATGAACTATCAAGCCAATAATTTGACTGTTTTCAGTTTTGACTCAAATATAAAATGGGTCAGAAATATGGCACATCTGCAGACATCATTTGACATTTTAGCCAAGAAACGTAAAAACACAGCTGTGATCTGAGTATATAACAGGAGAAAATGGTGAACGGTATATTAAATTCTAAACTTTATTGTTTCGTTTCAAATAACAGCAAAATACTCAAGCTTAATCCCGTTTGCCAAGGTTGAGTTGAACTTGCAGCAACAAGTTACAGTAGCAATATAATTACATGTATTTTCAATCTGCAACTGCAGTCTGCAATCCAAGCTGCAATTACACTTGTCTAATAATTGACCCTTTACTAGTTATTATTCAGAATGATTTGGCTAGTAACTTATCGTTATCAGAATGAATCCTGAGGCCATAAGATTGAAAAGACATAATTTCAGTGCAGCACTGTTGTTTTTGACTATAGAAAATGGATAAAATTGCCGCTTACGATGGGAAACATCCACAAGAGAAATCTCCTTGAAGAATTAACAATAGTACTGGTGCAGCAATGCCGGTAGGGATTGCAAGCGTTTGGGACACTCAGAAGTTTCAAAAAATGAAATTATTCTGTTTACTATTGTTGCACATTATTTTTCAGCTTGAAGATTTATCTC